CCTATGGAAAGGGAACCTCAACGTAACAGAGCCCTTGACCATCTCTCACGGACTACCAATGAAACTGGTGAATCTCTGGTAGTATGACGATGTTCACTTAGGGTCCCTGGTGTAGTTGATCCGTCGAGCTTTGAACGACATTGAATGACAGATAAAATAAGGATATGCATCCCAAAAACGAGTTCATGCGGTGCTCTTCTCGGCATTCAGAATGATTTGTGCATATTGCTTGAATGTAAGGTGGATGCTACAACATGACAAAGCTTCCCCATTGGGCCCGAGGCAAATCGCGGGGAAAGAGGAACAAAAAAAAGCAACATAAAACATGCAGTGGAATGCGGGCTGCGGGGGGAGAAATTGTGGGTTGCTCGACATTCATCTTAACAGCCTTGAAACATCAAGTATAAGAAACTCTTTGTACATACCGTTCGCAAGTACAATTTCGGATCAAACCAGTAACCGATATAGGAAGCGTGAGAAATTGCCGATCGACTCGACAGGTTACCAACAAGCAGATGAAGTTCGTGATCGCGTCTGTCAATATGGCCGGGGCCCTGTGAGCGATTCTGCTCATTCTATCATATGATGCCTCAACTTACCAGTCTAATAAAAACGAAACTTTTCTTAATAGTCTATCCAATCCCAAATAACAAGGCAGTCTTTGAATCAAATGGGCATCTCCGTTGCAGTATAAAAGAAAGTAATGAGTGCGCTGAAAGAAGCGACCAGGCTTCTATCGAAAATATGCGTAGAGGGCGTCTTGTAAAAGGCCGTAGGCAAGGAGATTGGGCAAGAGGGGCCCCTATCCGAGAGAATAATCGTTCTGTTTCTTTCCTTTTTTTTTTTCTTTTTCTTCCCTTTTTTTCCCTCTTTGGTTCTTTGAGTAATATTTTTTTTGGTCTTTTTTGTTTAATAAGAACGTTATTACCCAGCTCGATTCAAATGGATTCCGTTCACGGAGAATCTAGAGATACACTCGATGTCGGGTTGCGACAAGAGAGTTGGTCCAGAGAGCGCGGGTTCGCGGACGGTAGCGTGACCATGAAACGGATGACGTTGGGAATCAGTGTGGCTCCAGTAACTTATGGGTAGATCCCCTTAAGAGTAGCGCATCTTCGAGGCGGGCGCACACGAGATCACTGGTGAGATAAATGAACCGTCGCGATTCAATAAAGCAGAAATCAAATTGATTACGAAGGACGTTTTCTCTCTTTTTATAAGTCTTTTTTTTTTATTGTTGTTAGTTCGATGGTTGTTGGTAATTGCGAGGAGAGGTTGGAGGCGTGAGGGCGAAAAGTTAAAAGCGGCGTAGCAGCTTCGTAAAGGTGCTTTGGAGAGAGCCCGGAGTGTGGCTTCTGCAACGTTGCTGGATCGATCTGTCGCCCCAAAATGCGGGAGGTGGGCCAGGGGCACAAGGCGGGTGACGGTGCTCTAAAGGTTGAGTATGGAGAAAAGTGAGGCAGAGGAGATCAAATTCCAAGGTAGTATCTGTTCCGAGAAGGAGTAGGATGCGGGAAAGAAAAGAAGAAAGAAAAAAAAAAGAGAGAGAGAAATCTCAAGGGAGGCGAGAAGGAAATGGGAAAAAAGGAGGAGAAGTTGTACAATGATGAGCGAGGATGATGGATAGATAAAAAAAAAAATGCAAGCTAAAACCGTCGCAGCAGCTAATGTACCTAAACCTCAGGCCACTGAGAGTGGACACGAAGGAGGAGAACAACGAGCCACGGGTCGGGGCACCGAGAGGAAGTGGCGCAAGTGGTCCGTCAAGCTACTACCATAATCGTGGTTAGGTTCAGGGAGTCAGTTCATTGAGCTGGTTGGTTTATTGGTCTGTGCCTCTGAACGACATTCATACATGGGTGGATGGACCAACCAATGTCGAATTGAGCTCAGGAGCGGGTTTAATTACTTTGGGGTGGTAGGCGGGGTAAGATATTTTGACAGAAGAGCCTAGATAAACCTCGCATGGAGCCACAGGTCGAGTGCAGAAGGTATGAAGAAAGCGGCGCGTGGACGAATTGAAAGGTACCCATGCGCCGGATTGATAGGAGGGGGAAGGAAATACTACAAGAAAGCATTCGTCGGTTCCAACTTTTCATCAGTCCCAGTGGTGCCTTAGGTATGGAATCCATGTAGCAAAGATCATGTAATGGAATGAGTGGCGGCAAGTGAGTGGTGGTCGTACTTAGTGTAGTATGACAGACAGACAGACAGGTGCAAGGAACTGGTCGGCCATCGATGGAACGCTTTGAGTGGGTCAAGTGGAGGTCAAGTTGAAGATCCTCCGGGGTTTCGAAAGGAATCGGATGCCCCGAGCCACCGCTCAGTGTCCTTGAATTTCAACTAGTCCTGTCGGTGAACAGACATAAGTGGATGCCTCTCCATTGTATATGTACCTATCTACCTTCAATTTGAATAGAGAAAGCGAAAATATCTGTCGCTACAATCTGTTCTATGAAAAGAGATTGAGGATGCAAGCTCTGAAAAGGGTTTGTCAACGCATTCAATTGCATCATCCTCTTCAAGCTTGATGCACAGCGCATGCGACCAAATACCTATACTAGCGCTTGACTACAGAGGCCCAGCCGTAACAAAGAAATATATAGCTCGGTTCTGAGGGGGAGAGAGGGAGGAGAGTAAAATGGGGAATGAAATGAATTGATTGATTAATTCATCCATTCATTCATTCATTCATATGAAAACCGTCGGCTGACATTAACACTGGATGTGTGTGGTGGTCTTCTCCCAGTTGCCCCACCATTTGGTATGCGCTACCATCTGGAGGTTTTGTTGAGGCCACCCGGAAGCAACCCGAACAGGGAGCTATCTTTTGTACTCCGTATATATGTACAATAGGGAAAGGAAGCGAAACAAAAAGAGAAAGGCCAAAATTGAGTCACCCATCTTATAATTATTGTCAAGTTCTACTTTCTTGTCTTTTCCAATTAGATTTTGCTTTTCCATTTTTTTTACTTTTCTTCCTCCATCGTTATTCCCAGGGAAAAGGGTCACGGGTGTCAGACCACTTCTTGTATCATAACGTCATACTGTCGTTACGTTACACTCCACCATACCCGACAATCTTTGGGTCAAAACAGCAAAAGCGTCCAGGAAGATTGTTCGAAGCAAACATCTCAGGTCCCAGGTACATGATTAACCCTCCCATACTTCCACCCATTTGTCGAAGGACGTCGAACATCATCTCCCCTCTTTTGAGAAGTTCTGTTGGACCAACCATGTGCCACACTAAAAAGAAGCGCATCCGAATTGCGGGGGAAGAAGGACGCAATCAAATCATTGTCAGGAAAAAGGATGACCTCCTCACCAGTAAAGTTAGGGTCGAAGGATTGCCCGTCCAATTACGAGACGCAAGTTCCCATGTCATGCAGGATCTTCTGCCATCCAAATTGCGGAGAGAGCTTTCCCGCATTGGTTCTCTCAACCCACGAGCCGCCTTTGCATTTGCCTAGGCTCTTTCTGCCTTTCCAGCCATATTATATTCCCCGCCATCAGAGGAGAGAGATCTCCCATTACTCACCGATATCCCCAAGAAGTAAGTTCTCTTTACAGTGACTGTTTTTTTTTTTTTTTTTAGGCCCCTGGCTACCCTTTCGTTGGTCCAAGGGGGGTGCAACATGACGGACAGTTCAAGAGGAAGAGCTTCTGGTCCCACCCATGGTTGAGAGCTGCTGGACCCTTCCTTTGGCCGCTGGGTCAATGATGGGTAATGACACCAAAAATCCGATGGTAACCCACGGATTGCTGGAGGTGCATTCCAGCCTTCAACGCCCCATTCACTATGGAATATTTCAACTGAGACCGGATTGGTGACGTGGGGATGTTGCACGATTACTCTCATTGATCATCATCTGATACGGTATTGACACGATTTCTTTGATCAAGGTTTCCCTTTTTTCCCTCTTTTTCTTTCCCTCTTTTTTCACATTCGGATCCTTCTTACTTATGTAGTTTTCTTTTTTGAGGTTTATATTCCCCGAGATTCGGTTTAATGCCTTTTTGACTGGTGGTCTCTGCCGGTACATCAGTGTACACAGATATATATGCCATACAGCAGGCGGAAAGAATCGACACCATACAATACCTCAGCCACACACACACACTCACACACAAGCAAGAAACCAATTATTCCATTCCATCCTCCACCACCCACCGGCAATGTCCAAATGCCGATCCGATCTCTCACAATTTTCAACCTCATACAGGAAGACTATGATTTTGGCCGCATCTAGAACCCCGTAGCCCCTTCCAGGCAGGTCCGACCATGTCTAGTTTTCATATAAACCTCCAGGTCTCGAAAGTCAGGTGCTTCCCATCCCGTATAGTAAAATCTGAGGGCCACTAGCAGGAGTAACTAGAGGATGTATGTCCGTAACCCAAGAAATCGACTAAATTAACCCTACGCTTGAGCGCGCACTCCCCCTCCCCTCAGAAAGCAAGTCCATTGCATCTTTACTCCGTAGTAGGCCACTCTTCTCCAATTTGGAACTCCACCTTCCGAGCTTCCACCCGACGCTAGTATCTTTGTTTACAATTCCCCTTGCAGTATTGGTTCTTGCTTGATTGGGGTAATTTGTTGTTGACATGTGTCTTTCGTTCTTCGGCATTCGGCTGCCCATTCCCGACGCCCAGTTTGTCCCGCCATTTTGTGGCGAGCGGCTGGGATGGTGTATGGTTGTGGCGAATTTGGGACTTTTCCAACTTGGGTGCCTGGATTGCGGGAGGTAATGTTGTTAATCTATTGTTCTTGCTTTGATTTCTTACTGGGTTTGTTAACTAGTCCTGCTCAGTGTCGTTGTAGAGAGGTGTATGTTTTTGTAATTGATTTGACAGTATTGTACAAGGTCCCATTGCAGCATTGCAGAGACGTAAACATGAGCATTTCCATACGCGAAGCTATTCTATCCACTCATTAAAACATTGATATGCAACCAATGGTATATAAACGAAACGAACAAAGACATGGGCAGAATACAATGCTTTTATGGGGCCGAGTCCAGAGTACCCTTGCCTCCCGTAGAAGCGGTGGCAGCGGCACCCTTCTGCTGGCGCAACTTCTCTTCAAACTTAGCGAATTCGTGCATCGAGATCTCCTCTTCTTCATCCATCACCTGCTCAACTCCTTGCACTTCTTCGATCTGTCCAGCCATGCACCATTAGCCACCTACTCCAGCAAGCAACCCCGAAGGGGAAATAAAAAGGCGGGAAACTTACGTAGTGCATAAGCATAGACTCAATGCCATTCTTCAGAGTGACGGTGCTTGAATCGCAGGTCCGGCAAGCGCCGCGCAACTTTAGCATCACAATACCGTTCTCAAAACCGCGGAGCTCAATGTCGCCGCCGTCTTCCTGGATTGCCGGCCGGATTCTTGTCTCCAGGAGCTCCTTGATCATGCTGACAACTTCGTCGTCCTCTTCGTTGTAGCTGAGTGATTCCTGCTCGCCGCCCTCCTGTGCGCTCTCTCCAGACTTGGCGACCGTGTTGACGATCGGCTCGCCGGAGGTTACAGCCTGCGTAATCAAGCTGAAGACTTCGGGTTTGATATGGGCCCAGTTTGCATCGCTTGCCTTGGTCACCGTGATGAACTCGGGCCCGAAGAAGATGGATGTTACACCGTCAACATTGAACAGGTTCGCAGCCAAGGGGGAAGGGTGAGGAGGAGCGAGGGTAGAGCGAGGAGACAGGAACTCGAGGAACGATGTCGGGAAATCCTCTGGGAGGACACGATGGTTAGGGATGAACTTCAGAGCCTAAATCCAAGTCTCAGTGTCAGTATTGGTCCAATTTAAATGGTCTGAATGGCGATTGACCTACATCGGGATTCGGTGTGTTCTCGGTCTGGATGAAAATTGAGCGCTTGCTGACTGGAGATGGCCCATTCACGCGGGTCACCGCAGACTGTTGGTGAGGCCGCAAAGTCGGCCGGTGACGAGCCTCCGAGGCAGTAATAGCGGGCAACCGAGCCGAACGGTGGATAGTTCTGTAAGATGCAAAAACATTGGGGATGACGGTGCACGAAGAAGCCTCAACCACGCTCAAGCGCTGTGCCGTGACTCTGGAGTTCAGAATAGTTCGCCTAAGCATGGTGCCGGATACTGAGCTGACAGACATAATGTAAATTTAGCAACCTAGTAGGCTGGGGTATCTAGTTTGTCTGTTTGAAAGTGCTTCTGGATAGTTGATAGAAAGTACATTTCTTCCGACCGCCCGGCACTCTGACGCAATAAAGTTCCACGTGACCTCGGGAAAGGAACTTGCTGATAAATCGGTAATTGACTCGAGCCAATCACAAGGTGGCAGTTTTGACATTTACATTGCATTCCGCGGAAAGCGAGACATCGAAGTCCCAAGAGGTATGCTTTGAGCATTCCTAGGAACAGTTGTCTTCTCATTCTTCCAAAGGACCTCTGTTCTTTCGAGGACATGTGTATACAGTACATGTTTCACTATTTACAAGTAACTCAACATATATTTGTTCCATGCCCACACCATATGAAAATCTTGTATATGTAAACTCCAGGGTCATAACTTCTGATATACGGTTGTGATTATTCGTTTTTGATAACGTACCAGCCAACCACGACAAAAGGTGGGCTTTCCTGATCGAGGAGACATTCTCGGAGCATAGCACTAAAGGGCTTAAAGCTGATAAGAGCATATGCTCATTCATTATGCGAGATAGACGACACGTTCAGAAGTTTCCCGGACAAAACTCACTGGAGCTTGGGCTCAGTGAGCATTGATGGTGGCACATGAAAGTTGGTCTCTGGAGGAAGCTTCCATAGCCAAGCTTTTGTGCTTGCACGGTCGGCTTATTCTGGTCGTACCCGGCGTGACCCGACGTCTTGCTATCTTGTTTGCACGGGCGTTGAAATGCTGTAATCGCCAAAATCGCTCTCACTCAGGCGATATTGGTTTGGGAGACAAGTACCTCCTCTGCGAAAAACGGTATTTGGGCCAAACCATGTCCTTCAGAAAATATCCGATACCAAGACCTAGTTGAGGCAGAAGCACAAACACTCCCTGGCACCACCGGTATTTTTCGGCAAACTCGTGTACGCTATAGAACTGTGCGCTCTGACTCAAGGGGGCAAGCAGTAACTGGGCGCCTAAAGTTTTCAAATCCGGCTGTAAACAGTAGATAACAGAGCGACAGACCTGGTCAGCATAGTGTTCGGCAAGGGTAGTGAAATCGGCTGTGATTTCAGAATTCGGCGTGACTCTAGAGTTTGCGTCCTCGCCAAAAGTTGAGTAGCAGTTAGCCAGAGAGACATGGTCTGCCGGAAGTTCAAGAACCTCGAGTAACTGGTCGATTAGAGGATAGAGCAATACTAATGCAGTCCAGTATATTAGATGAGCCTCTGCACACGTGAGAGACGGGAAATGAAAGGGTACGGGCAATAATTCGGTGAAGAGAGAGCTTCTAAAATCCTTTCGACAAGTCATATGAGCAGGGAATACTGAAGGTTTCCCGAGTTCCTTCTGTGTCATGCAACAGATTCGATGAAGTGTCTCCTCTAAAGAGAAACAAGAGAATAACAATTCTCGCCCAGTGTTTTGAATCTGGTCGTGGCCTTCAGCCCCCTCCTGGAGAAGGCTGTCAACTTGTTCCATCAACACGGAACAGTCCGCCAACCGATCAATAAGCTCATCTATGGGCTCAGGACTATCTGTGTCTTGCAACGAGCTATCCTGCCAGGGGTTGTACAAAGTGGGTGCTTTGCGTTTTCCAATCGCATCGCACAACTGGTTTACTAAGCATTAGCAGGTAGAAGCGGCCTCTCTAAAATCAGAACACTAACAGTGACGAACTTGAGTTGACGACGAAAGAGCCTGGAGGCAGCGGTTTCATCATCTGGTCCAGAACACTGGTTGATGATCGCACTACTCCCTTGAACATGAGCAATCCACGCCCCAAACCCAGGAGGGGAGCAATTGATTAACTGCTTCGCTGTCAGCCGGTTCGATAACAGTGGAACCGAGTGCAAGTATATCTGTGATACATACTTCGTATATCTGGAATATTATCGTGGTATACAAGATATCGTTTCCGAGAGTTCTCCCCGAGCTTATCTTACCATGTAGCATCCGAATGGCATCCCCGTAGATTTCAGTGCTGCTCTGCAGTAAATGTCTATCTTGATTTTGTTTTGCTAAAAACGCCGTGGAGAGAGCAACGACCGCTTTGTCTAGGAGCAAGCTGCTTCCGGATAGGTCTGGAAGGGTTTGGAGAATATTCTTCCCCGTTCTGTCGCATATATATTGCGATTGGGGTAGGTATCTGTCTATGAAGGACTGGAACAATTGAGATCGGACCTCCACATTAGTATTCAGCTGAGGAATTCCGGGTCCCGCCTGGTCTACTTGGTGAGTCCTAGGACCGTCCAGGAGAGCTTTTGGACGCCGAGCGAACTTTTGCGCTCCATCCTCCATTGCATTGGAGGATTTATGTATGAAAACCCTTGGCCGCCCATAACCGGCGCAGAAATGGCCGTTCTTAACGCACCGGAAGCATTCTGGTTTGGCTTCATCGCACTAAACATGCGTTACACTCCAATGGCCCGGAATCTGTTGGTTTACTGCGTGGGAATGAGTTTATGTTCAGCCTTACCTTAACCTTTCGGCGCCGGCATGTATTGCATCCGGTTGACTGAAACGGTATGCCGCCCATTTTCTTGACCCGATGTCATCTCAGGTTGCCGCGCGCCGCAGAAGTGAAAGAGGCGAGCTAGATTAGAATCTGTCTTGGATTGGTTGTGGATAAGCTGAACATGCAAATATTGTCTCTCAAGTTACTACATTCTCCTTCTACACCAGGAGGATGAACCGTGGAAAGTGGCCGAGGATCACGTGTGACCATTAAGCGGCTGATCTTACCCCCCACTCTCTGGTTTTTTCTAGAGGCCCGAATATAGTCATAGTGAGAAAGTTGTGGCCGATGATGTCTGCAAATAATGATGTGGCTTTTCCCATATGAAGGCTGTTGATTAATCTTGAAGCATCTAGGACGGTCATCATGATATTATGGTAACTTGCTGCAGCAGAAACACTAGTCCTTTCCAGGCATGGTCTTATGATGACTCATCACTTCCAGAGCTCTTTTATTCTCGATTGCCATTTTCGACCGCTTCCAGCCCATCCCAGTTGTTTAGGATCGACAAGTCTGAACACTAAAGGCTTATCTTAATAAGCCCATTGTGGTTGGATGTTCAACCATGCTTGAGGGAGTCTGATTGAATGCTGCGCAGCTGCGAAAGCTCTAAGGCTGCCCATAATAAGAAAATGCCTAATACATGCGAGGTTTGCGCCTCGGAACTCTCCAAATACCGATGTCCCACATGTGGGCTGATGAGGTAAGTTTCATGATTTCATCAAGAAAAAAGAGAGAGAGGGAAAACTGTGAAATAATTCACAGATACAAAGATGGCCCTTAGAAAATCAAAACCACTAATGCACATCCCCCAGTTGCTCGCTCGCCTGCACCCAATCCCACAAGATCTACTGTGCGCCCAAAGCGCCATCACCAAAGACATCTGAAGAAGTGAATGGTACCCAACATCAGCCAGAAGAAGTCAATGGGCATACTGGTGAAGATACGCATGAGTTACAGAAAGGTACCGATCCCAGTGTTTTAGGGTCTTCACCTCAGCTTAAGGAGCTGTTCGATCGTTATCCCACACTCCGTGACCAGTTACGAGATATCTATAAGGCTACTCTTGAGGAGGAATGGACTGAGACTCAAGCTCATGGGGGCCGACGACCCTTCGGACGGGGAAAGGGAGCCCCTCGCAACCGAGGACCTTGGACTCGCGAGAAGGGCTTCAATAGAGGTTTGGGGAAAGTCAGAAAACTAAGGGAGATGTGTGAAGAAGGCTCGGAGATCGGGAAAAATGCCGAAGGTTACATGCGATTCGTAGCCTTGGTCAATGGAGAGCGTTTCCCTCACGAATCTGCATGAGGTGTACTACTTTGTTCGTTTCCTCTTTTCTCTACCCTGGGAAACATCTCGCGTGCATAGATCGGGAGTTTTGGGGTCATGTATCTCACCAGACATTCTCGACCTCGATTAACTGTGCCAAGGCTGAATATGTTGGGGGGGGGGGGGAAACCATTCAATAAACCGACAGCCCTTCACCTCGGAACGTCCCTCAGCAGAGGACCGGGTATATTCGTGATAACCTTGACTGATGTACAGTTCACTTTAGCGATTTAAGAAGAAGAACCTAAATAATCAGGGTATTCAAGTAAGAGGTTATAAGGTTCTAGGCATACACATATTCACTGATCCGACTATGTCAAATCCGCCGTCCGTTCCGCTGCTGGGTGATTAGACGAAAATTATTGTCTTACAAATATAAGCTTAAACACTCCCTACCATTTTAGGAAGGCTGGAATAGACAAAATGGCCGTGGCCTTCATCGCCATAGCGGAGGGACGTACTCCGTTCAAGGACTTGTCGACACTCGGGCCATCTTCGACATAAACCAACTAACTTAGCAAGCACAATGTTCCCCATAAAAATCTAAATGAACATCGTTTGACTGGCTGTCTGACAGAGACTAAGGCAGTTTTAAATGACAGATCCGCTTGAGGCTGGGCCACACAAAGCCGCTGGTGTTAACCCGAACTAGGTTGACGCCGAGGAGCTGAACCAAAGTTTTGTGATATGTGTGATAGACAGGTAAATATGGAGTACACTGGCTTCCTTTAGTGCTTGGAGGTTGGTAATAAGCGAAGATATCCGTGCGGTCTACTCCGTATGGAGCCTCGGGATGTCATTGAATAAGTGCCTGAGGACTAATGACTCAGTAAGTACCGAATCAATTGAATCGTCTGCCTTGATTAATCCAACCTTAGGAAGGTACACAGACCCTCTGGAGAACAGGAGTTGATGTGACTCTAGAATTGGGATCGAGCAGTCCGCTCATTATTGGTCTGGATCCAAGCCCCCCCATCGACTCGTGGGGAAGGTCGTGCAACGCGGCCTTCATTTGACGAGGTGAAACCGTCCCGAACTAACTATGGTCTTAGCGTATCCTTGAGAAGTCGAGACACCCATCATAGGACCTCCAATGGTAAGCGAGCCCTCAGGGAGAAAAAAAAAAAAAGAATGGGACTTGAAAGATGGGCTATTGGGCGGGTCTAGTTACCTCATGAGCATCCCATGGCAAAACAGGGCCGTAGATGAAAAGAGGTTGTTAACAGATGATGGTCGTAAACTCATAAGTAGGTAGGGTTCGGTGCGGACTTTCCTATGGGGAACATGTGCTGCCTTACCTAGTAATATATATGCCTAGGTATAGTATACTTCGCACTTATTACCTCCTTTAGGCTATTCGCAATACCTAGGTTGTTCATATCTGTATTACTTACTATGTGGCATAGCATGTGTCTACTAGTATCGGTAATGTATAGTCCATGGGAATGATCACCTCCTCAGGGGGGCATTTTGCAGCAATGAGATACCTCATTCCCATCCTCCGATTCTGATTCGGAGAGGCCATAAAGCTACCGTCTCATTGTCTGTATCACACATGGCCATTGATGTCTCCCGGTAGCCTCCGAAGCCCTTTTTTGTACTCGAGTCATCTAGGGAGTAGTCACTTGAGTTTCTCATTTTTTGTCTTTTGTTTGTGTTTTATTTTAACTGGGTCCTTTCTTCAGTAAGTTTCAAGCTGACTGTAGTGTTTACTATTTATTCTTTATTTTGCTCCTCCCTTACATAGAAACAAATAATAAAACAAAACCTGGCTAAAAACCATGCTCCTCCTATAAGACGAACTTGTTGAAGGGTCCCGTCGGCTTCCCACGCGGTGTGAAGATCCCAACCCGGACGGGCGCACAACGCCTTTAAGTACGCAGAAGTTAAACTATCTTTTCCTGTACAAGGTATTTCCCTGGCAGGTCGACATCGACGGGTACTCTTTGTTTTTTCCCCCTTCATCTGATTGATTCGCCAACAGGGCACTCGTGCGTGCGTGTGTTTCTAAATATAATAACTGTCCAGCTTGCTTCCGACCAGCTTCTCCATCGTTTTCTGGGGCTCTGTCGGGCCAGTGACATCGCTCGGTCTGTTGCGCGCAAACTCGCCGTCGGCTGATCTTACGACCACTGAAGCTCCTCCCCAGCATAAAAAGTATTTGCTCTCAACGTCACTAGCACTCTCTCGTGAGATTCTGTCCAACTCTTATCTGCGGATACTGGATTTCTCATTACTAATTTTGGATTTGTTTGCGTTTAGTTTCACCCTCCGGTGTTCGGCTTGAGAAGCATCACAGAATAAAAAATAAAAAAAAAGGGAGAAAGAGAGAGAGAGAGAGAAAGAGGAGAGGAAAGCATAAGGAATTGACACCCGTGTTAGAGGAAATCTAAGGATCAAATTGCCGATCGTCCTTGGGATCTCTTTAAACAATCCCCTCGATTGCAAATACTCCGATAACTTTCAGCCTGGGTTGCGAGCGACAATGGATGAGCTGCCGTGCCTGCTTCACTTACTCACGTAGCAGCAGTTGGACCTTGCGCTATCGGACCTTGTTTGCTGTATCGGCTATTCCCTAACGCCGCGGCGCTGGGTTCGCGCGAGCATCACCCATTATGACCTCCCAAACACCGCGACGAGAGCGGTCATCTAGCGACAAAGCCCAAGCCGTGTTCGTTCCTCAACGGCCAGGTCTTCCAGGTCGAACAATTTCCGCCCCTGCTGGTGGTCTGCATAAACTTGATTCTTCCAAAGTGGCGATAGAGGCCGGGAGTAAGATTGAGCCGCCTGTTATAGAAGAAGAGGACAGCATGGGATCCTCCGGAAAGAATGGAGTTCCATCTGCCCGTGCTGGCGATGAGGTACAGCCAAAACCATCTGTGTTGCAAGATCCAGGAAAGCGCATCGATTCTAACCGTGATGCACTGTGCAGACCTCGTCGAAGCCGAACTTTCCCCTCGTTACCATTGCCGTTGTTGGCCAAGACAAAGTAGGTAAAACAACGTTTATTCAGAGTGCCTTGGATATGAAACAGCCCCTTTCGTCACGAGCGACTACGAAGAAGATGTCGTTGGACGGGACTGTGTATCTCGTCCGTCTATTGGAGATGAATACGAAGGAGATATCAATCGGGAATGATGGCCTCCTGGAATGGCCACGAGTTGGAAACGACTCCCCGCCAGTAGACGGCGCTCTTGTTGTCCATGATATGACACAGTCTGTGGGTCTCCCTGAACTTACAAGGTTGTTGGGTATGTGTCTCTTCTTTACAATCCCTAATAATGTCTGCATGGTTATTGTACCTCGCCGGCGCATTTACTGATTTCTTGTATAGACACATTGGCAGCATATGCATTCCCATCTGTATTGGTCGCCAGCAAATGCGACATTCAAGCACCAGATGGACCGCTCGAGCCTGCGTTGAAGAACTACCAAATTCACAAGACATCCCCAGAGTCGCCGCGGTCGCAAAAGATGTGTATTTCAATGGTTCTGCGTGAAGTTATCAACAGTAAATACGGTAAGCCTGCCAACAACTTCATCCCATCAATACTGTAGTACCCCTTATTTCACGCACCCCACATAGAGGAGAGAATGAGAAAGGGAAGAAACTCTGGGCTGTACCGTTGCTTTCTAAATTCCTATCTCATATTTCTTGGCCAAACCCCCTTGAGCGGTCCGCCACGTTCTCGCTAGTTCCATGGCGCGGCCTGAGACTAGCGTTCGCGTCCTCCCTTGTCGGCGCCGATCTTCAGGATGTCGGCGTCGCAGCGTGCAATCCGGCTTCCGCTGTCTACTACTACTACTCGCTGATTAGAGCAGACTGAAAACTAACAATCTTTTAGACCCCATTGATTACTCGTACCCATTCAAAAAACCCTCCACGCAGGACTGGCATCACAGCCGTGCCAACTCTGAAAACCCCACGGCTGCATTAACTGGAGCTGCGGGCGGCCCCATCACTAGTACCTTTGAACCGGGAGTCGATGGGTACGGTGAAGACCGTCAGCCCACCGACCCCTCGAATTCTTCAAACCTGGCCTCCAATGCGCAAGGCTTACGATTCTCCCGGAGCAATTCGTATCCGGTGCGACCACATACACCTCCTTTAGGGACTCGATTGAATCCACAAAAAGCATCAACGGCGGAGGAGTCACCGGGGAAGGATGACAGTCGACAGCAGCGACTTCATGCGGCCTGGCGAAATAGTGGTGGCTCAGATGCCTTTAACAGCTTTCTAGAGATGGACAACGGAATGGAAGGGCCAGCTAGCGCTCCCTCGAGTCCGGAAAGCAAAGAAAAGACATTGAGCGAAGGATCTTCCAATGGATCCTCGAATGATGCCGGATTCACGTTCGATGAACTCGTTGATCGCCTTGTTGCACAACCAATGTCGAAGCAGGACTCCAAATTCGCGTCTATATTCCTCTGCCTTTATCGCAAGTTTGCCGCACCGTCCACTTTATTGAATGCACTTATCAACCGCTTTGAACGGAACGAGAAGAATTTTACCGATCAACTGACTCGCATTGCGGACCAGCTGAGGTTACTCAATATTATGTCCACCTGGGTATCGGAGTATCCAGGCGACCTAGCCTACCCTAAGACCCGCAAGCGGATTACAGATTTTGTGTCTACTCTGGAAAAGAGTCACTTTTACATGTTTGCCGCAAAGGAGGTTGGGTCCTATCTCGAGAATAATGCAGAAGATGATGATGTAGGCTGGCCATTCAGAGATGGCGACGTTGATGAATTTGACGGGCACGAGACTTTCCTTAACAACTCCGGTCGGAGCTCACCATCCTTATTCCTTGGCGGATCGACGATGGACGAAGGCGAGGAGCACGAAGAGGAAGAAGACCCTATATACAACATGAGTGCGTTAGATCTTAGTGAAGGCGCGCCAGACCCATCTTCGAAGCTTTCGAACTCGGCCACCTTCGAGAAACCCGGCACCGTGTCGAACCAGTCGTTCACATTTTTGAGCATGGAAGCTGCACAGAAGGAATCTCAAAATCTGGAACTTACCCCTCGGCTATCATTGTCAAAAATGCAATGGCGACAATTCATCGAAATACCTGATGAAGATTTCGCGCGCGAATTAACCCGGATTGACTGGATCATGTTCAACTCGTTCCGGCCACGGGATCTTGTGCGGCATGTCAGTATTTCTGGGCCGGACAAAGACAAGATAAAGAGTTTAAAGCATGTCAATCGGATGATCAAACAGTTCAATCATCTAGCATTTTTCGTTGCTAGCGTTATCCTCTTCCGAGACAAGCCTAAGCACCGAGCGAAGGCATTGGAAAAGTTCATGAACGTTGCACAAGTGAGTTTCTATATCGCTCACATTTTCTTCTTGCGCTGACCCTCTACTAGAAACTGCGTCGATTAAATAACTATAATTCTCTCGGTGCAGTAATCGCCGGAATCAACGGAACACCCGTGCATCGACTGTCGCAGACGCGCGATTCCGTGCCTGTTCAAACGCAAAAAGATTTCATGAGGCTGGTTATCCTCATGGGGACACAAAAGAGTCACTTTGCATATCGCCTAGCATGGGACAATACCTTCTCAGAAAGGATCCCATTCCTCCCACTGCATCGGCGAGATCTGGTCTCCGCTGAAGAGGGGAACAGAACGTTTATAGGAGAAAACAAGTCTAGGATCAACTGGCGGAAATTTGAGGTGATGGGGGAGGTTGTATTGGGTATTCAGCGCAGCCAGAAGACACCTTATCCTCATCTACAAAGGTATGAGGACGCAGCCAGACTGGTACTTGATGTCAAACTATCGGGTGACGATGAGGTTAGTTTTATCCCCTCCCACGTTCCATTTCTACGATTTGCTGACCAGCCTAGGATTTGTATGCACGCAGTTCCCAGGTCGAGCCATCTGCTGGCGGCGAGACGGGACGCAAAAAGTTCGGCTGGTTACGGTCGTAAAAGGGCATGATGGAAGATTCCTCTTTTCTCAAATTTCTGTTGTCATCTATGTCCATGAGGGTAACGATTACATGACCCAGTCATACACTTGTACTGACGAGATGCCTGATGAATGATGATGATCGTCTGGTCTATGATGTACATACATATCGACATGTCTAAATATATTATTCCTGCTACATCTAACATAGCTCTATCGCATACACATAATTTGTCCCAATAGCGTCACGTGATCCCATACAGAGGGTAGTAGACGGAGGTAAAACAACCATCCCCGAACGATCCACCACAATCACCAACCAAATAAGCTCCTCAGCAACACCTCCAAAACACCCAATACAAACAAAGATAAAAAGCCAAAAACAAACGTCACACTATAAAAAAGAAAGAAAGAAAACACAAAATGTCCCTCCAAGCCCAGGCAAGATCCACCTACCGCGCCCTCCTCCGCGAACTCCCACGCCGCAGCCTCTCAAACCCAACGCCTCTCCACAACCGCATCCGCGAGCTCTACCGCGACCAGATCAAATCGGCGAACGAAGAAACGCTGCATGCTCATATCCAGGAGGCGGAGCAGGTGGCGCAGTATGCGCGCGCACAGCGCCAATATCTTGCGCTTGTTGAACGGTATAACCCGGGCATGACGTTGGATGAGCAAGAGAAGATTAGGCTTACGGCTAGACGGGTTGGAATGAATTTGCCTATTGAGGCTAAGGATCGGAAGGAGGAGTGAAAGATTTAGGGGTACACTGGTTGTACGGGGTGGATGGGGGTATGGTGAGGAAAGAAAAAGTTATGGTGGTAGAACTTGTGGGTTCATCTATACGTGGAGTTCGGGTGTCTTGTATGATTGTGTTATTGTGTCATTTATAGATTGTATATTATTCTATGGTATCTGGCTGACTGAGTATATAACTCAAGTGAAGTCCGTTCATTCATTGTGCGTCTGTCTTCGTGATGTCTTTGGTGTTGCACCATATATAGTAGTGGGCCGTGCGGCGTCGCGGAGGGTACTCTCTGCGCTGGATGACGGGCTTATGTGTGGACGACGTTTGTCGGCCATTGGTGACAGCTGTAGCCCGTACATGTGTCTGCATGTAGCGATCTGGGGATCTACGACGGAAAAAATTGGTTGATAGCAGGCGGACTCAGCCACCCAATTGAACCTTTTCCATCTGTCGCATGAGTGTGCTGCTGCTTTCTTCATCTTCCAACCCAACGCCCACTTCGATCGCGGTCTTGGGCCGGTTCTTATTCAGTCCTTCGAGCAGGGTGCATGCCTTGCAGATCTTCTGACTCGATATATATCCGCAACGCTCGCATATGCCCATCGTTTGCGTCTTAATGGTCTTCTGTGTTGAGCCCTTGATCCCCTTGTTCTGCTTCTTACGAGGAGCAGGAACATTCTGAGCCGGTAGCTTGATCTCAACCTCTCTCGATTCCGCCGCTTCATCATCAGCCAGCTTCTTTTCCATCTCCGCCATCTCGCCACCACGCGTCCGGCCATTCTGACTGCCACATCCACCAGCCGACTCGTCATCCGCAGCTCTAGCACAGGCTTTACCCTTAACCTCCGCAGGGACAAGCTCTGCCATGTCCTCCCCACTCTTAACAATATCCAAAATCGAGCTGGGCCGAATCTTCTCCAAATCCTTAATCAGCGTCCGTGCACTACCCCGAAACGCCTCAGGCGAGTAGATACACTCGGTACTGAAATAATCCAGCTGCTTATGGTGGGCATAGAGCACAATTTCCTTCTCATACGCATACTTCAAGGGCTTACTGCGCTTGATATCTGACGCAGCCGAATCCGTAACGATACTCGTACCCCTCGACAAGCGCGGCAGATCGCCCCGCAGCAGATTCATCATAACCGTCTCCGCAACATCATCCGCATTATGCCCCGTAACAACATGTTTGATCCCTAGTCGCGCCGCACCGCGGTCTAGCGCCTGGCGTCGGAACACTCCGCAATATGTGCAGTTACCTTTCTTGCCCACCTGCGCCACGACCTGATCCATCGTCCACCCGTATAGTTCGTCGTACCCGACGATCTCTAGTGGCATGTCATATTGCTCTGCATTGCGTTTGACTGTCTCTAGACTGTCGTCGCGATAGCCTTTGATTCCCTCGTCGATGGAGAGGAGGCAGAGATCAAGGCCATAATTGTAGCGCTCATTCAGGGTCTTCAGGACGGAGGCAAGGACGGTGCTGTCTTTTCCACCGCTGGCACCGATGGCGACCCGTTCCCCAGGGTAGAAGAGGGAGGTCCTGGTGATTGTTTCGTGGACTTCGGTTTCGAAAACGTTGATGAAACAGGTTCGGCAGAGCTTTTCGCGGTTCTTTGGTCGGATGATTACTGCCCGGTTGGTTTGACAGTGGAAACAGGGTGAGGGCGCCATTCTGAATTGATTTTTGAGTATTAATTCAAATTGGCTTGGGGTTTGGAGGGGAAGAAAATCAGTGATAATCGATAACCATGATAGGCTTGTGAGTTTGCTTTGTTTGCATTGCGGAGAAGGAAAAATTCGAATGTTGTTCCAAACAAAAGTAAGCAGAACAAGAAATGACTTCACTGCACAGAAAAATACAATCACAGTTTGATTCTAATTAAAATTTTTGGTATCTCTATACCTATAATATACATAATCATGACCCAACCACATCTAGCTTATTGTGGGCTGTAACAGAGTACAGGAAACATCGAGAGGACTTTACAGCTTCCCCTTGAACAAGTTGGCAATCATCTCCCGGCCCGTGATTCTAGAAGTAGCCCACAGAGTCGGGAAATCCAGAGTGCTGGAGAAAGTATCGGCATATCCGAAGAAGAGCATGGGAGGGATCCAGCCACGGGCATATTCCAGCGCGAAGCAGGACGCATCCATCTTGTATTGCTTCACCTCACCACGTCGGAGGTGGTGCACGCTGCCCTGAGGGTAGACCTCAGGTTCGTAGGATCCAGGGACATAGGCAAGCTGGGTACCCTGAAGGATGTTGAAGTAATCATCCGCAGTGTGGCGGCCAGTGTGGCCTTCGGTGCCGATTGCGGTTCCTGAATTCCGAGGTGGTTAGCAAGAAGGGCATTGTATGGGCGCGCCGTTGGAAATGGGTCTAAATAAAGGGGGATGTGTGGAGAGGAAAGAGTTCGAGAGCCGCACCAAAAATAATCAAGTACTCCGTGATACCTGGTTGAATGTTAGCAATTTGTAGGACTCGGAGGACGGAAAAAAGGAGATGGATTCCGCTTACTAGCATGAATAATATACATGGCACCCATGGCACCACCGGCGTTGTTGAACACCCATTCCTCTTCCCTGTTCAGGTGGTTTCCGGGGACCTTCTCATCTAGCTCCGAGACAATGTAATTTACAACGGCACGAGTATCGTTTCCGTGGGCAGCAATTGCACGCTGAGAGAGATCATGCAACTGGCCGGGTTCGAAGATGTAAAACTGCTCGAGACGCGCATTGAGGTAATTGTACAGGCCGGCCAGAACGGCCAGTAAGGTGGCCAAGAGGGTGAGGGTACGCATGAGGAACGAATTGGATCAAACGGGTTTCGGAGGAATTAGTTAGTCGACAGGAGATGGAAGGAATGCAAATTGAATCCGAGGGTGTCAGATGGATCAGGAACAACAATAACAAACGTCGGTGGCCGCGGAGTGCGGTACTGAAAGGGCTTAGCGCGGCCCCGACTTGGGTGTCTTGGCTTTGTGGGGATTTTTTACTCTTCTTCTACTTTATTTCTTGCGAAGCTCCTCCCGAATATCCCCTGACCATTTATGACTACCGGTATCACTTTCACGAATGCCGACTCAGCAAGGTCAATCTCGGGAAATCTTTCTGTTGGCCAGATCTCTTATATTGGGCTATATCTGGTGCATTGTTCCTTCAAAATCTCTTTGAAGACGGAGATGTCTCCGTCCGGCTCACATGTACTCCGTAGATCGTCATTGTGCAGTCTTCTCAACAATGACAAACGTCATCCAACCTGTCTCTCCGATGTTCACCCGTATAGTGGCTCACCGGATAATTAATTTCCTTAGCGATAATTGATGGAGTTGACTGTCTCAGGATGAAGAACTTTAACTCCATGGCTCCACGCTTCAGCGGGTCCGCCGGATACTTCAAACACCGGCGCATCGCATTCAACGCTTGATTTAGGCCACCATTCAGCGCTCGTTCCCTCTGGCATGAGGGTGGAATCCTCTAATCCCAATATGCCGAATTAACCGGAGATTAATCCACGGTTCAGTGTGTTTCTAACTGAGGATATGTCTGAGAGGAGCAGGTATATATACCGGCTTCTAGCTCCGGATCGACAGCCAGAGGTGTCTATCCAACGAGCCGAAAACCTAGACATACAGTTTTAGCCATCACTTGATATATCCAAAATGAAGTTCACTCCTCTTGTTCTCGGCTCTCTCGCCTCGGCTGCCGCCCTCAACCGCCGGGCGGATATGTGTGGCCAATGGGACACTACCACTACCGATAAGTTCACTTTGTACAACAACCTCTGGGGTGAGGCCAATGCGGACAGTGGTAGCCAATGCACCGGCCTCGATTCGGACAACGGAAACACTATTGCCTGGCACACGAGCTGGAGCTGGACCGGTGGGGCTGGCCAGGTCAAAAGCTTTGCCAACGCCGCTTACAACTTCGAGGCCACTCAGCTGAGCCAGCTAAGCAGCATTCCCAGCACATGGAAGTGGCAGTATGTCGTCATATCAACTAGATTTGTTTAGTTGGGTACTAACTTCCCCTAGGAACACTGGTTCCGACATTGTTGCTGATGTCGCATATGATCTCTTCACCTCGTCCAGCGCAGATGGAGACGAGGAGTACGAGATCATGATCTGGTTGGCAGCCTTGGGCGGTGCTGGTCCTATCTCGTCGACCGGATCTACGATTGCTACCCCCACCGTGGGCGGACAGAGCTGGTCCTTGTATAGTGGCCCCAACGGCCAGATGACAGTGTTCAGCTTTGTCGCCTCCTCCACGACCGAGGATTTCTCGGCTGACCTGAACGACTTCCTCAAGTATCTGCAAGAGGAGCAGGGCCTGCCTTCCAGCCAATACCTGACCCATGTGCAGGCGGGTACTGAGCCCTTCAGCGGAAGCGACGTCAAGTTCACCACCTCTTCCTACTCTGTCTCTGTTGCCTAATCGCCATCCTGTCAGCAGGTTTGGTGACAGTTTTGTAAATAGTTTGAGGCGATGCTAGGCGCCGTGTTTCAGGGACTGTCAGGGATCGCGGGATGAATGGAGGGGGAAATGTTCGGGATATACATACCTCAGGAAGGAGCCTGAATCATCCCGTGTTTTGGCGAGAGGGGTACATGCAGTCTGTTGCATGGTTTATTGTGATTATTTGTGATGGTTTTCTTCTACCCGCTCGCTCCAGTGGAGCTGAGGCATCTAGCTCGTTGGGTATATAGGTTTTATTTAGAAATCAAGGTCGAAACATCTAAATATAAATGTCCAGCGTCTAATGCGACCATCGGATGGAACGAAGCGTTAGAAGTGGCGCCGTATAATTATAGAAAGGCGACTAACTCGTACTAGTAGCGAAGGGTACCTGTAGGGAAAGTACTAGTATCTATCTTAAGATATTAAGTCGAGGGATTTACAGCGTCTGCACAGTCGGCGCTTAACCGCCTGCAGGAACCAAACCCAATCAAACTAACCAAACATCCCAACCTCAGGCTCCAAACCTCCACTTCTGTAGTAGTCAACTTGTGACCAACAGTACATACATCTCAACAGGCATCAATCACCACCCCCCCCCAGTACAGGATCATCACTAGTCGCTCCTTCTCTGGCGTAGGGAGCATGACGAAACCCCTCGGGTGTCAACTGTCAGGAATCGTACCCTATTCTGTCATACATACCATCGCATGATTCTTGACAGGATGCGCGCCATAGGATCGTGCGAACGCCCGCCACGATGTAGGGGAAAAAACGCGACCGCCGAAATAGGCCTTCGTGGCGAGCCATCCACTCGATGAGGAAAAAAGGTCGATAACCCTTGATTGAATCGTATCTCGTGTTCGGAGATCTGATTGATGGAGAGCTTATTGCCAATCATCCGCCCCCCCTGGGGTCGCGCGCCAAATGAGATCATGGGGGAGTGGATGGCCGGTATGCACGATGCGCGTCCAACCGCCGTCCTTGCATAGCGATGGCCAGCCTTCACCTCTGAACCGCTGAACCGCTGAACTAACTATCCACTAGCAGGGGATGTCTTGCCCTCATTCTGAGTTTCTGATAGATACTTATATACAGTCACTCACTCGCTGCCTTTGTTCAGCATGGCATTCACACACTTCAAGCTTTCTCTCTCTCTTCTCTTTTTATATATCGATCGGTCGGTCTCTTCATAGGTCTTTCATTATCATATTTTCTCTATTAATTGATCGACTTAATTATCACTGAATTAATTTTCCCTTCCAATATTGTCTTACCGCCGCTCCATACTTCGGAAGGTGATCCATCAGGTTGACACGACAACCTCTACATTCCTCTTACCTGCTGGCAGGAATTTTCGCGACTCTCCTAAATATACCCTAGATTTACATTCCTTGGAATTTGTCTACAAGGCAAACATTGCCTCTTTTTATCCGTTGCTCTCGCTCTGTTCTGTTCCCCTCTTTTCCCTTTACCAAATGCACACCCTGACCTACCCTCCGTTCTATACCACCGCCGCCATGGAGCAAGTCAGCCAACCTGATCAAATGAACCACTTCCAACATCTCAATCGAATTGCTCTACATGAGTTTGTCCGACTACCAGTCTCTCGTGAGATGGTGGCGCATCTAGCGATGCAAGCCTCACAGGTCATCCGCTGCGAACCTCATGTGACCACGGCCAGCGCTCATGGTCAACCAACACCTCCCAGTACACCTCCATTGGATGCGGTTGATTCTCAACTTCCGCCTTTGCCCTCAGTCGAAATGTTTATCGCATCACTAGTCACCCGCTCTCAGGTTCAGGTTCCCACCCTGATGACCTCCCTAGTCTATCTGGCTCGTTTGCGTGCTCGTCTCCCGCCTGTCGCAAAAGGCATGCGCTGCACTGTTCATCGCATCTTTCTCGCTTCTCTCATCTTGGCAGCCAAGAACCTAAATGACTCTAGCCCAAAGAACAAGCATTGGGCTCGTTATACTACCGTCAAGGGCTATGAAGGATTTGCCTTCTCCCTCCCAGAGGTCAACCTGATGGAGCGACAGCTTCTGTTCCTCCTTGATTGGGATACCCGCGTTACTGAAGAGGATCTGCTCTGTCACCTGGAGCCATTTTTGGCTCCCATTCGTTACCGGTACCAGGTTCAAGAGCGTGAAGCCGAGATGCGCCAGCCCCGCGAATGGCGCCGTCTTCAGGCCTCCGCTGAACTCCTTGCTTGCCGTCTTCGTCGTCAGAAATTGGAAGCTCGCCTTGAGGCTCGTCGATCAGACTCTGTCCATCGTCGCCAGCGACTACCCGCCAGCCCTGCATCGTCTGTGTCGCTGTCTTCCATGTCATCCAACGCGTCCCCGGCTTCCTTGGCGGACACTGATCGCCACAGGCCGTATCGCCCGCGGAGACGCCCGTCGACCCGCAGTGGTGCTTCTGTCTCCCCTCCATCTGCGCAGGATGTGCCGTCATTGACCAGAGTGGATACGGTGCCTTCATTGAGCTCGCGCGCATCTAGCATTGCGCCAAGTTCCCGAAATGCCACCCCTGCTAGTCTGCGCCCATCCAGCTCGATCACCAGCATGGAAGCTGATATTCGAGTGGTTGATGGAGCGGGTAGCCCATCTCTCAGTTGTGGATACATTCCCGTATCTTCGATGACGTCCAACCCCAAGATGGAAGAAATTCAGCAGCCTACCAAGAAGGTCCGCATGAACGGTCATGCTGGGCACACTGGGTTCGTGGCTCGATTCCTGGCCTCTGCCGCCGGTTCTTACATGGGTGGCCGAATGCGCTCTCACGTTTAACCATCCTACCTCCCAACTGAGCTGGTCTCAGCTATTGATTAACACCCTCGCCTTTCCATCCCCATCCTAGCACCCCACTGTTATCTAGAATGATAATTTGCTTCTCATGTTTTGTCAGAAAAGCGTCCCCCTGATATCCAGCAATACCCCACCGGTAGGTCTACATTCGTTTGATCATGCATTGCATTGGCGTTGTTATTTTCTACGTGTCTTTGTCTATGTTCATGCCAGCTCTCGTTCGTTACTGTGATTTCCTATGGCACTTTCGTTGGTACCCATTGTTTAGATATCACGCACTCCACCAATCTGTTATGCATGTATGTATGATGCCCTAGCTTACAGACTAGTCTATGCTATAATCAAATGCTCTTATACCACAGTCTATAAATAGACAGCGGAGTCGTCTTACATCCCTGTTAGCGTCTCCCAAGCGCTCTGTGCGTAGACAACCATTGACACCCGCACTGCAAATCCCTGTGCTGCATACCCCTCAGCGCGTCGATTCCCGATCGACAATGATCAACAAAAACAATCCGTGCCAGGAATTTCAACCGCCACGCTCCAGCAACAGCGTATGCGTACCACATTAGTCAAGGAATGTGACCCGCACGGTCTAGAATCTGCTAGATCCATCGGAGTTGAAAAGCGCGACGTGCGAGGAATTCGCCAGCGGATGATGAGAACATAATTGCCGGATCCCCACCACAGGCTTTTCCGATCAAGACACCGATCGAGATAAATATACACAGTACTCCGTACAGGGGAAGTGGGGTTCACATTCTGCGCTTTGGGGTTTGGATGTGCCGCTGATGATTCTAGACTCTGGTCTTATCTTATCCTTACTTGGGGAGGGTTTTGTAGAGATGAGATATCATGAATCAGGTTGACCGATGCTAATGTTTCATTTTAACCGTCAGGATTCGTGATTGTGATATTCTTCTTCTTGACTTTTAAATATAAGTTTGTGCTTCTGATGTTTGCGTGTTTCAAATAGCAGGGGCTTCCCAGCTGTCGCGTTTGATTTTCATCAGGTTGGACTGTTTGTGTGGGAAGCTTACTTCGCCTTCTTTGTAGAAGCCTGCTTTCTGGAGATACTCGAGGACCCTATTTGTTTTTCTTTTGTTAGTCCTTCTGTGGGCATAACGTTGGGCTATGGAGGGGATAACTTACTTTGTGTTGTCCACTCGAGGCTCTAGCATGACTGTCTCGGTGCGCTGGTCTGAGAGCCAGCAGTAGTGCACCAAGGCGCTCAGCCAAATTTGCACCCGGTGCGCGCCACGGTACTCTTGCTCTCCGACCAGCAGGTGGATTCCCCGGTCGTAATTGCCGGCGCCCCCGATGAGCTGTCCCAGACGGTCTTCTTTGACCCAGTAGATCTCGAAGTACCCGAAGGGTTTGCCGTCCCAGCATCCAATCACCGGGAAGCTATGTCGACTTTTCAGGTTATTGCGGAGAAATTCTTCCTGGTGGGAGATGGGACCGGACTCTCCCCATGCTGCGCTGACTCTTGGGTCGTTCATCCACTTGTGCAGGTAGTCGAGGTCCGAAGGCGTGTTCGAGACCACTGGGTCACTGGTTGAGGCTGAAGAGGTATGTGCTTTACTTGGTGCCCCTCCCGGCGCCTGAGTCTTCTGTGAGGGGAGGTACGGGACACGGAATGAGAGGTATTGCCCGACGCTGGGAATGTATCGAATGTAGAAAACGTCTCCCTGGTGTGGTGGCTTAGGTCTGATTGGGTGTCGAACTCCATTTGTGAAGATGTACTGAGTGGCTGGCGGGGGGTAGAAAGTTGGAAGATTGGTGCTGGAGGCAAACGGCCCTTCGTTGGGTGCGTAGTGGCCAGCGTCGCTGGGCGGAGGACCAGAATCAGCGAGGTACATTGTCTCACGGGTTGGAGACGACAGCTGGCGGGTATGATGCGACGAGCCGGGTACATTCTGCCCTATATTCAGAGGGCTCAAAGAGAAGACGAAAAGACGGGGATCGATCTGCCAGAAGGAGCGTCGGCTCACGAACATCGCCTCCCAGGACTCGTTATCGAAGGCATCCGGGCCCACGGATGAATCCTCGGTGGCAATCAATCCCATCCGTTCCAGCTTCTGAAGCACGTTTCGTCCCTTGAAGATGCCCTCACGCTTGATATTGACCCGCCATTCGCCCTTCGGTCTGCCCGCCACGGGCGTGCGCGACGAAGCCTCCGTCTCAAGGTGAAGGTCGGGTTCGGGCTCGTGGAAGTACCACCAGAGAGTGACCCAGAGCATCATGGCGATCTGGCGTGAAGCGGAGGTGGCGAGTTTATGCTCGTTGTTTGGGGGGCTGACAATGGCTGAGAGGTACAGGCAATCATCCTGCAAGGTCGGTACTGTGAATCGAGAGCTGTGCGACTGATCGTCACTCTTCCCTCCAGCCTCGCGAGCTCCGTCATGCGCTCCATCGGATTTCCCCTTCTCCTGGGTATGCTGTCTGGTATACAAGACGATCGTCCATCCTGGAGGGAGTAAGGAGCGACCTAAGTGTGCATCATTGATCCTGAAGGTCAAGCCACCGAACACTGGCGACACTGAGATTAACTGCCCGTTAGGCAAGTGGCAGACGTTGTTGCGCATGACGAGGGATGACCTTTCTAGCCAAGCCAAAGGAATGGGGATTAAGGGAGAAGAGACAGATGAAGGACCGATAGGCCTTAAGAAAGGAGGTGTGCAGAATTCAGAAAAGGACCGGCGTGGAGGCGAGTGGGATGATCCTCCCCATTGCCCCTCATCGCAGCCAACTGATCTCCCCGCTAAGAAAAAAAAGAAAAAATAAAAAGATCTAATCAATCAGTCAACCAAACTATGAATTGCAGATCAGCAACACTGTTTGATTAGGATCACCACGCCGATATTCCTCCGACGAGTTCATGTCCACGCCAGAAGGGGGGAAATTGGTTTCAGTTCAGAGATCCTGCAAGAGCAAATTGGGAGGAAAATGGATGACGCAACAACATTACGCTTTCCTCGAGTTTCAGGTTTTTGGGTCTACAAAACCAACACCACCGAAGATAAGCCATCCATTAGGTATGGTAATAATAAACTAAGCTACACCGGAAAGAAAATACACTTAAGAAGGGGGAGGAAAAAAAGAAAAGAAAGCAAATTAGAAGTCTTCCACCAGGGTGCCAATATTCCGCTGCCGCGCCAGCTGAACGAGATCTCCGCCAGTGACCAAGTCCATCAATCCCATCCCCACACCCTTGAAAATCACATTGCCTCGCTCAGCCCACTCGCGTAAGCTTTTGCCATCGTCCGTCTCTTCGTCCTGGTCTTGGGCAGCACTGCGCACCATCAACAGCTCGCCCAGCTCCACAACTTGATTCGGCTTGATCTCCGCTTGGATCAGCTCTCCAGCTTCCTTCAAAGCCGCCTCAAGGCTGTCCACAACCACAACTCCGCTACGCTTGACGTGTTTGTGGAAATGCCGATGCGACCCGTGTGCCTTGACCTCGTCGCGGATGATCTCTGGAGGCAACTCGCTCATGTGTGGCTTGTACGAACCAATGGCGCTGATCAGTCGGCCTTTCCGGCGGGCTTCGTGTGATGTGAGTATCTCCCCAGGGAAGAGTGGCTGAATGGATGGAGTGCAGCAGAAGATCGCATCAGCTTTGTTCAGGGCATCCTGCAAGATGCGCGAGTACTCGACGAAGTCGCTGCTAACAGCTGAGAACTTTACGTCACCCCGCCAACTAGAGTTCTCTGGTGAATAGATGTCTCGCAGAAGTTCTGCTGCCCGGTCGAAAGATCTATTGATGATGAAGACCCGTTTGATTTCCGATCCCCGCAATGTCAGTGCCAGTCGTATGTGCCAGTACGCCTGCTTGCCTGCTCCGAAGACTACCACTGTGCGCACTCGCTTGCGCTTGTTGAAAATCATTGTAGACGCTAGCGCCGTGCGGAATGGAGTGAGCTCGTGCGCATTGATCAAGCCAAATGGCATGCTTTGCTCGTCAAGCAGAGTCACGCTGCCCTGTGGGGAGGTGTCTCGGGAACCAGCTGAGGGCCATGCGCCCATTGTGTTGGACAGTCCAGTATTGACCGGTTGTTTGTTCACACACCCCGACGGCAGCGACTTGCTACTGGAGCTGATCGAGGAGCTTTCGTCTTCCTGCGACGAGACAGTCAAGTCACTCATGTCGGATGACAGCGAGCTCATGGAATCCCTCGACCCGTGCCGACTCCGTGACGCCGTCTTTTCGCCCTCGGGTATATCCAAACCGGTTTCTACGGCACACCCCGCAGTGCCCCCATCCTGGAGCGAGATCATTTTCATGCCGATGGTGCGGCCGGTACTGGCGGGCATGAATAGCGTCGTGGAGCCATTCTTGCGGGTGATTGCAGTTCTTCGGGGTTGATAGGTAGCGGAGCAGCCCTGTTCCTGGTTTCCCGTCGAGTATTCTCGTAAGGCCTGGGCTAGGTTTTGTTGTAGCGATATAATCTCATCGCGGGTCAGCGATAGCAACAGCGAGCGGAGCTGTGCCTGCGAGAGGATGGTCAACGGCATGGGGAAGATCGTAGTATGATATCCTTGTCTCCACAGTTTACAAAAGGATTGTGGACATTAGGAGAAGAAAAAGCTATTGTTGTAGGAAAACGAGGTTCCACGGTTGGAGGAGGAGGGACCGAGTTATGGTGGGCGGGCGGACTTGATAAGGACTGAGGGCTGCGAACGGACATTCAACAATTCACCTGCCAGCCAAAACGGACCTAGACTCAGGGGGCGGGGACAGATTAAAATATAACATACTACCAGCATATAAAGATCCGCGACCATTCGCAAAGAAATAGCAAAGAAATTGCAAAGAAATTGCAAAGAAACGCAAGCCATCTTGACCGACCTTGGCGTCAGTATCGCATCGAATGAAGAGGACCGAGAGGGTCGGAGAGTCGGCGTTGAGGACCGTGATGACGACGGTCAAGCCTCTGGCCGAGCGAATAATGAACGCGGAGCGGAGACAAGACCCATCCACTCCAGTGTACTAGTCCCCGGTGGACAACAATGCTATCTTGCTACTGTGCAGTATGTATATGTATTCAATGATTTATGCTTGCCCTGGCATAGCTTGGATATAGTGCGGTTACCGGCCCGGGTTCGAAAACATCCCCTCCGCCGCAACATCACAAAACGCCTCGATTCAAAAGGAAAAACTTCAATAGCCAAGAAAACAAAGGCAAAAAGGCAAAGAACCAATCAAAATGTCGTGTCTCGCTACGTCCCCCACATATCATCATTATCCCGGACTATATCATCTTCATTAAGAACCCGTAATCCGCTTTCCTTGGCTTCTCGTTTCCTCTGCCGCTTGGTGACCATCCGACTGGGTGTAAGCGGCGTGACTGGCGTAAATGGCATATACGGGCTGTATGGCGTGGGCATCCCCGTTCGAGGACCATTCATAGGTTTCAAGGGGCGCTCCAGAACGGTTGTCTTGGTGGCAGGCGCACTTTGTTGCGGGTAGGCGTCACGGAAGGGCAAAGAGGATGAGCCGTGGCCAGCCACGGACATACTCAAGGGCGCCGGGGCTGGCGCCCGTGAGCCCTTTGACACTCTCTTCTCGCCTGCGCCTTGAATTGTCACCACTGGCGGTGTTGGCGGAGGCGGTGGGTTGTAGAATCGCGGTGTCAGGGGAGGCTGGTCCTCTCCATACGACCTGGATGCCGTCACGTCCGGGGAGCCCAACGGGGAGGAAATTGGTAGCTTCCGAAGAGGAATGCGAGGGGTACGGGGGGTACGCGGCTTGCCAGTGTTTGCCTCGGGGTGAGACTTGCTGTTGAAAAGGGAGAGAGAAGAGATTCTGGACAGGCGAGAGCTGGCCCTCGGGCTCGCTGGCATCTTCGCTGGAGGAGGGGGAGGTGGTGCTTCTGACAGCCTCGACGAACGATCGGTGAACGGGTTCGTTTGAGCACTATCCGGAGAATGAATCTCACTCTCCTTCTCAGCTGCCCTCCGCTCATCGTGTTCCATAACAGCGGCGTACAGCATTTCCATTTCTTCCTGCGCTCTGCGCCGGTCCAATGCAACCACCGACTCGTCAATGGTAGACACGCTGCTGTTATTGGCTATATGAGACCGTGGGCCCTTGCCCAAACTGCTCCAGGATCGATTGAACCCGTTTGGCATACCCGGACTGGGAAGATTGGCAGAGATTGGGGTGACTGGGCTTGGATCCATACTGGGCGGAGGCTTGACAGGCTTCATCATTTCTACCTGCAACGAGAAGTTGGACGATTGCACTGTCCTTCTCAGACGACGCCCTACAAAGAGGAGCAATGTCAAGAGGATCGCGACAAAGATTACGTACGCTCCTACAATGCCACCGATTTGGATGGCGAGGAGAGACTGATCCAAGGTATAAGTAGTGGGGTGGCCGTCAGTCCGACGGCTCAGGTTCGGAATATGAATCAGGAGATTTGACTGTTCCTGGGATACTGATCCAGTAGCAACCACAGGAGATAGTAGAGCAGCAAGGATTAAGTGAACTGGCAACATTGCTTGTTTATGGACCCAGATAGCAAACCTAGTGATTAAGTCTCTTTATTAAACATAGTGGCGGATCGCAAAGGAGACCGCAAATCCTTTACAGAAAGAGACAGAGTGACACACATCCTGAAAGAAGAGGGGGGTATGAGCGACATATTGAAAGACGGGTTCTGAGTGATTGGATGTGATAGTGTGAAGCGCCAGCCATGGAGAAGGTTGAAGTGCGATGGAGATCCTCCCGTTCTGTGGCTCTATTGGTGCAAGTTACGCGCCCTCTGCACATCCGATCACACACGGCTTTCTGGACCACTGGCTGGTCAGACCTCGATCCTGGTGTTACTGTAGATTTTGGGAATCTCAGCACAAATAAGATGGAAGTGCTTCGTATATCTTCGGGATGAGGATGTTGATTGGCACATTCTCGATATTCCCACTTCCGTATCACAAGCTACAGACTAGTATAGGCCTGTCACTTGCAAACTTAGGGCAAATTCAGAGACAGTATTTCTAACTCTGATTAGCTAGATTTTGTCTACTTCCTAGGTCATCCATCTACTTACTTCTGTTTCAGAGACACTCGATAAGCTTAGGTTGCGTCTGCAGCTTCTTACTAGTCTTAGGGTTCCCTGTCACCCCGAAGGAGCCAGAATCATATACAGTAATATACTGGCAGAGGCTACCATAGGTACATCACATCACATCATATGTCCAAACTTAAACAAACCGCTCTTCAACTGTGCAGTGTTGGTGTCCAGTGACGGAGGGGCCGACACCGTAGTCGGTGAAAGTATTCATGATCTTCTAATGCGGAACGGTCTGGGTTTACGACGCTTATTAGACAGGAGCATGACCTTTCCATATCACATGGCAATATCGTACAATATATACATCAAACATATATACACATGGCTGTCCATCCGCTAATCTTTCTTTGAAAACAGGTCCCGCCAGAATTCCTTGAATCCATATCCTTTAGTTTTATCCTCCTCATAAACTTGTGCGGTAGTTGATGTGCTTAAGGACTCGATAATGCTGGACGCTTTAGAGCCTACCGATTGCGAACGACTGGTCCTCTCCGTCGCGCGCCGTTTAATCTCCTCGGCTAAAGTTGGTGCTACATCGGCGTAGCACGTAGATAATTCACGTTCCAGATTTATGTACGGTTTCTGAGCAACAGGTGGTGCCTGTAGGTTGTAAGAGCGAGTGAGAGTATTGAGATTCTTGACCGCTAGCTCATAAAAAGAGCGCTCTGTTGAAAGATACTGGGGGTCACGTAGTGGCGAAACATATGGCAGCCGGGGGGTTTCTTTGGTTTCGACTTCAGGCGACGTAGAGGCTAGGTTTTCGTCGTCGTTCGGATTCGTTGCGGATGGCTCGACATTATAAAGCTCCTGGAACGATCGCTCTATCTTGACTTTCTCTGCCAAACGGGCTTCCGCAGCGGCATAGGCCTGAGCACGCCTCATCTGAGCTTCCAGAGATCCTCCTTCACTCGCAACTAATCTAGCCGCTTGCCGTCTCCATTCGGTTCTTAACCGCTGGCGAAACCGATCAATCTCCCTCGCCAGCTCCTGTTGTTTCTCGATCCACGGAGGAACCAATTCTTGTTTTTGAATCATCTTGTTCATGAAATATTCAGTTGTATCGATGAATGCACTATTTGCATTATGGTCGGTCTCTGTATTGACACCTTTCCCTCGTTTTATTCGATCGAATTGGCCGCGCGACATCGCATCCTCTATCCGTTCGTTCGCAAGTGACGCTAACCCTTGGATCGTCATCGGCATTGGTCGGCCACCAGGAGTGAACCTCTCTCGCATTTCTCGCCGCATTGCCTCACGTTCTTCATCCGATACCCCAGGGCTTTGACTTAGGGTGTACGTAGATGTGCGGTCTTTGGCTTCGGCGAGGCGGAGACCAGGCGACCTTGAAGACTTGGGAGAGATACGCATATCAACGGGATTTGGTTGTGGGATTTTGTAGGGTACGCGCATAGGTTTCTTCGAGCTGTCCAGCATGCGCAGTGTGACATCGTGAAGGCTCTCCGTTCCCGACCATGGCTCAGCTGCGGCGATATCTTGAGTTCCTTGACCTGCACTCGACTTTAGAACGTTAGTTTAGGGATCTCCAGCATCATTGCATATGTACATACAGGCATATCGGCAACTGCATGGGCGGCTGCATGGTCACTTTTGAATGCAGTTGCTGTGATTCTCTCTTCAAGTTGTTTCTTCAGATCATCCGAGAACCCCGCGTGTTCCATATTTTTTCGCGCCGAGCGGCCTCCTTCAAGCATGGCCTGTTCTGTCATTTCCGATAATCTTCGCGCCATGGCGCCTTCTTCGTTATGTCCATCTTGTAATTGCGTAGTCTCGCTGTTTTCATTCGCCTTCGAATCTGCATCTCGCCACTGGCTTATCGCGGAGAAACATCTCGATCTCGGACTTTTTGTTGTAGATAATGCGGATAGGTTATTGAAGTTGAAAGCTCCCGCATGCCGTTTGCTCATATCCGCCAATATTAAAGAAAAGCAAACCTGAATGTGTGTAGTGACAGTAGCAGATAGCTCTTATCTCCAACGATGGCCCTGTAACTATAGTCAAACTCACAGGACTATAGGGTGTTATGTCAGCCACTTCCGCGGGCAAAATTGCCGAAAATGTCTTGGCACCTCCGAAGGCTTTCCGACATCTTTTGGAACCAGAGCCCACAACTATACATTGACCTGCACCGGCGCTATTGGTGGCATTCCGTCTATCCAATCAATTGCATTTGGGTTCCTTGAGTCGCAGAAGTTCAGAGAGCACCGGAAACACCGTCAATATGCCCCCGAAAGGTGCCACGACTCGTCTCAACCCGGTCCGTCTGCAGACCATCCCTCACCTTCGAGTCCGTCGTCCGAACCAGCATGAGCAGAACCCCTGTGTGACAGTCATGTCTTCGATGCTGAGTATGTTTGTTCCTGCTTCTAATCCCTGTCGCCGGGACTTTCCAAATAGGACTTTCGCCGTGTTCGATTGTCGAGCTTCCGTGTTCCGGGCAGCTCATGGGGCTGTCAACAATTTTTCCACCGGGATGATATGCTAACCGTGGTTTACTGATAGGCTGCTGGGCGTCGGCTGGATACACTGCGGAGGGATGCGCAGCCCTTGAGCAGCAATTGAGGCAATGCATGGATGCACCTGTACGTATCTTGATTTCACTCTGCTACGCTTTTCGCCCAACTTCCTGGCCCATGTCCGCTTTGGAATAGCCGTGCTAATGATATCTTTCTTTCTTGTAATATAGAAACCGAAGAGCAACAAGAAGAACACCATCAACTACCACCTCATGAGAATGTACCCCAAGGTCGTCGGTCCCAAGAAGAGGGAGGGTACTCTTGGTTAAGAATTCTTTGACTACAATGTTTGTTGATATCCCGAAGCGTCGCGCATCATACCGGTTATACGATGGTATCAAGCAAGGTTTTTATATTGGTTGTTGGGGGCCCCCGGGATGGGTGATGAGCGTGGAGGCTCTAGATTGAGTCTTGACGGGCTCGGAAAGAAATCTTTATGTATCTGGAGTTATAGGCTTTTCGTTTACGGGTGGATGTGAGCTTGTATTACGGGCATCCCCTTCTGTACATTACATGTGCTATGTTATAAAGAAAAGAACATGTTTCAATCCTAACTATTGAGAAGACATAGCTAATGATCATAGTGATTGTGGGCATGTCAACACTTGGACACGATCTACGCAGCTTCAAACTTCAACACCAGTTTATCTCCGCGGGGCTTAATCGTATAGGCGTCGATTGCTTCAATGTTTTCGTCGTCTACGATGGACGTCTTGTAGTTGCTGTAGATGGCCGCCGTTGCTAGTTTGATTTCTATGGGTAGGGGTGTCAGCTTGGGGAGGCTTTGTATATGGGGAGCAGTGGTCAACTTACCTTGCAAGGCCAGATTGCTTCCAACACACATTCTTCCGCCACTCCCGAAGGCCCAGAACCACCGCCTTCTTTCTTCGAGGTCGGAATCCGAGTTGACACCCTTAAGCCACCGCTTAGGCTGCCATGCCTCAGGATCCGGATACACATCAGGGTTGCGATGGAGCGAGTATGCCTGCGCATTAACTCTGATGTTTGCAGGGATATCGCTGTACCCAGCCAGGGTACAGGATGGATAAGGTGTGACACGAGGCTGTATTCCAGGGATTGGGGCATGCAGGCGTAACGTTTCCGTAACTACGGCCTCAAGGAGAGGTAATGAATCAACCGCTTTTGCCTGAGGCAGGCCCCTTGACGCACTAGGTGGGGGAAACAGAATCTTAGGCTCGAGCGTCAAGAGCTCTTTCCGCAGCTCTTCTTGCAGGTCCGGATGACGAGAAAGCTCCCAGAACAGGTAAGTGAGGGCGACTGCGCTGGTTTCAAAACCAGCAGTGAGCTGGTCATACATTTCGCAGGCAATCTCGATCCGCTGTTGCTCCGGGCTCTCTTCTGTGTTTCCCTTTTGTGAGGACTGCTTTATCATTGCTTGCTGGAGCTGCTTGTATGCCACAGGCTCGACACCGGCGTCGGTTGATTGCAGGCATTGTTCTGCTCTGTCACAGAGGTCTAAACACCAAGCATCAAGCGCCGCATTGGCCTCATCGCACCATCTAGGAATCAAAGGAATACCAATGGACTTCGTCCAGGATACAAGGCCAGGAACTTCCTGGTGGTAGAACTCATACGGTTTCCTGCCCTGGTAGTAGTGGAGCATCCTCTGCCGGAAGGGTTCATCTTGAAGCCAGTTGGTTCCATTCGCCAAGCCAAAGAGATACGCTGATACAAAGTCTATGGCGAGTGCCTGATTGAGATCATGGACCTCCATAGGCGCGTTTGAGGAGACTGCTTCTTGGATCATTGGAAAGAGGCGATCGAACAAAATAGTCTCCGAGATCAGACGCATATGAGGCGAGGACTGCAAGTATGACTTGCTATAAATATTAGATAACATCCTTTTACGAACAGAATGGGGCTTGCTGCCAATCATGGTAAACATGCTGACGGTACTTTATAGGATGAAGCCTTTTATCAGCTCTAGTCAAGACAGTCACAGTTTGATAGAGTATAACCTTACCCGAGTGACCCGAAGACCCGTGGATACCATTCATGCTTTTCGAATCCGCCTGTGTAAACGGTTTTGATACCACCTTCAACACAATTGATGGATATCTCTGATGGGGAAAGCCGCACAATCGGCCCAAGTCTTTCATGGGCAGCCTGGATGGTCCGGTTGTTTTGACTCCGGAAACGCTTCCAGAGCATCCAAGCAGGAGATATAGGAACTGTCCAGTGCGCATTGGGGATCTTGGACAGTGGTGAGAGGAATAGGGGATACACAATACATTTATATAACAAGGTAATTGACAAGACAATCGCTGATATAGCCACTATAGGCGATCCGGCCATGTTTGCAAATGTTCACTTGGCATCAAGATCAGACAAGGGATGTGACAAAGAGGACTCTAGGAGACTTGTGTGCAACCAGGAGAAGGGATAATGGATACCTTGTATTTAACTGCAAGACTCGCCAGCCATTATCAGGTTGAAAAAGCGGTCGATGCCGAGGGACCCTTGCTACAGGGTGGACCTACCATTAGGAGAAGCTTCCCCCGCATATAGAAACTTTTGACGAGAGGAGTCGAGTTGGCAATCCTTTGGGGAAAAGACACGATAACAAACCCCGTATCCGATGAGTGTCCAGTGATCTAAGAAGACCACTATGAATCTATTTAGTAATGAGTGGCGTCTCTATGGTTGAATTGCTCCTTCAGTCTGCGAACACCCCACATTTGAAGAGACCTGATAAGGAAAGGTTGAAGAAAGTGCGGAGATAAGATTTATTGATTTATCGGAGCTGATAAATAAGCGCAGGATTGAATCTGATTGGAATTTCATGTATGACATAATGCCCGAATTCCCACAACGCAAAATCACAGTCACGACCCTGGTCTTGTATCTTTAGCTACTAGGTCTTCTTTTTCAATGTGTGTGGGTGTAAAATATCTCCTCTGACAGTTTTTGCCATGAATCCTTTGCCATCCGAAGAGTATTCGAGTGTCTCACACCATGGCCTCACTACTATGTTCCCAGGCTGATGGTCCAAACAGCCTTTGCCTTATTGTTGATTGCAACATGTCCTAAACCACCGTGGAAAGGACCTTAGAGATATACGTTCACAGACAGATTATGATGTCGGTAATGCTTTAGACTAGAGTACATATGTGAGTCGTGTACATCTACAAACAGTTTCGGATACTCATGTACTTTCAAGGAAATCGCCACTAGACCTCCTCAGCATTCTTCGCCTTTAGAAAACAGCTTAGATCTTCACTATGTTGTCTAAACTACCTGTGGAGATAATCTATCTCATTGCAACTTATCTACCATCTGCCAGTGACTTAATACATATCGCGCAGACCTGCAAACGATTGTATGGGTTTGTATCTGCCGAGGATGGGCGTGTTTTTCGCGCGTTTATTGAGCATCGGTTTCCTGGCTTTGTACCGTCTTCATTCTGGAAAGATACCACCCAAGCTCTGACTTCTCGCTCTCGAGCTCTGGACAAAAATGCGGTAGTTAGTCGCTTCGTTGCGAAGCCTCCTACTCGTGCTGAATTGGGGATTACAACGCGAACCGACAGACCCACCCTTGGATATCGCCCTGCAATTGATTCATATGAAACCTGGAACGGGAGCACATGGGCGGACCGCAGGGAGGTGCTCGCCTGGGGCGGCGGGCATGAGATTGTCATGAAAATCAAACAACATGGAAAAGCCCGGAATCACCAATGGGCCATTTTCGATGATTTGGATGTCGTCAGCAGCCATGATGACATCTGTGGTCTGCATATCCTGCGACCGGGGCATTATCGCAAAGCGGACGATAAGGAGCATGTAATCTTTGGTCGAATGCGCGGCGAGCTTCTCCATGTTGCACTTAAGCCTAACGAGGACACACATGAATACGTGCAGCGATACCAGACATCTAACTCTGGGCTCGAACATATCGATCTGAGCGAAGGACCAGACCCGATTCTGGCTGCACATGACAAAAATGGAACGATCAATTTTTACAGTACTACCAAGGATGACGACGTGGTTGAACCCTTTGGGCATATTGTAATCGAATCAAGGCTTGCGGCACGTAATAAGTGCTCTAAATTTCTATCTCCGACCCTATTTGCTATAGGCACAGGGCGCTCTGAGAATGCGCTGGCTATCTCTTCCATTTCATCGGAACGGTTGGCGCTGGAGCGAGAGATCAGCGTGCGCTCATTAGATCTTGACGTACGGCTTGGCTCTACTGCAAGTGTCATTGTCAATGCAATGGCACCTCTATGCGGACAGGTTACTACGGGGTCCCCTGGTAGTACATTCCTCGCTGCTTGGGGTGATCGTCTAATCAGGTACGATCTCTTGCCCCTATCATTGCTTGTCGATACAGCTGACGATTGCGCAGACTCCATGACGTTCGTTCAAACCGGGCATTCGAGTCCACTTATAAAGACCCAACCGACCAAAACCAAATTTACTCCCTTCACCCTTTTGGCCATGACAGATTTCTCGCAGGAGCCGGCGCAGATGCCGTGGTGAAGATCTTCGATCTCCGGATGCCAAAAACCTACAGTTACACAGATTCCAGGGCTTCTTCCATTTACCAGCACAGCGTGCGCCGTCGAAAAGCCTCAGCCTCAGGAGGAGAGATTGCACCCCCAGTAGAGAGCATCAAGTATCCCCGCAAAGATTTCTCGATGTTCCTGTTCTACGCACCGCCACTGTACCCAAATGCCCCTCGGAGGCGCCAACGTGAATCCACTCCTTACCGCGGGGCCATATACTCCCTGTGCTCACCGTCACCTCTGTCGCCCACGGTATACGCCGGGATCACTGACGGTGTCGTTCGACTAGACTTCATGTCAACTGATGACTTGACTGGTTCGTGCAGGGATTGGTATCGGGAAATGCTTGATATAGACCTAGAAATTCAGGAGGACATGACGATTTACAACCCTGAGCGAGTTCTGGATTTGTCTGGGTACGAACGGCCGGAACCTGATGACACGACGACAACTTCTCCATTGAGGACACAGAAGAGGTTCGCGTATATTGATGAGAGTAATATCAAAAATGAGCAGCTGACGGGCTGGGACCGGAGGTGGAACCCGATGGAAAGATTTGCAGCCTGGAGACGTCGGGATTGAAACTGGATGGCTTGATAACCCCTATAACGTTTTGTTCCTCTGTTGGCATACAATCTCGGAGTGTTGGTTTTTGGTGCTGTTGGTTTGTTGCTTGGTAGTTAACTATCAATATAGGGTGGTCGATGTTTATGGTGGGGACTCTTAGATAGGGAAGTATTCGGTTGGTTCATGGGTTTTTTAAAGGTCACAACAGTAATTTAGAGACAATTGTTAAAAATTTTGACTTTTTTTTTAGGTGAAAGTTTGCACGAATAATTGAATAGAAGTCCCAGCTCCATCAGCGCCTTGCTTGTAGTTGTGAATAAAGAAATGGGCAAAACGATCTAAATATGTAAACCTAGATCTAAGGGTCTAAACTTTTGTAGAGCATATTAAAAAGTGGATGGTATGCTGAACATGACGACAGCCGGCACAACCCAACTCGATCCTCAACTTAATCCTCGAACTTGAACGACTTGCCTCCGGAGATATCGATGGGACCACCACGGTAAGAACCACGCTTCTTCTTGTTCTTCTCTTTCGTGAAGCCCTTGCCACGAGTTACCGAGAGATCCTTGAAGGCTCTGTCAGCATAGGCATAGGGGACGTAGTCGTTTGAAAGCAGGTGGTCGGTAGGCTGTTCACTGAGAAGAGCCAGAGGAGTAGGGCGGGCGCCAGTGTGCTTTTTCCCATATCCGGGGGCCGGGCTAGCACTAAACGAACCGGTCACCGGTGTCGAAATGTTAGTAGATTTCTGAGCACCCGAGTCGGAGTTTTGAACTGTTTCACTGCCGGAGGAACTCTGAGAGGATGAAGAAGCCTTGTTGCCCTTTCCGTCTTCCTTGTCCGAGTCGGAGGAAGAGGAAGAATCAGAGTCGGAGTCAGAATCGGATGACGAGTCGCTGCTGCTGCTGCTGCTGTCACTGGCTGAGGACGATGATGAAGAGTCAGAGGACGAGCTGTCTTCCTTAGCTGCGACCTTTGTCTTCTTATTCTGAGGGGCTTTGTCTGACTCGGACTCGGACTCAGAAGACGAGGAATCAGACTCGGCCTTCCGCTTAGTACCCTGAGGCTTGGCAGGAGCAGGGGCTGCCGCCTCCTCCTCGCTCTCATCATCAGCATCGCTATCGGAGGCAGAAGAGGAAGAGGAAGAGGAAGAGGAAGAGGAAGAGGAAGAGGAAGAGGAAGAGGAAGAGGAAGAAGAGGAAGAGGACGAGGAGGAAGAGGAGCGCCTAGATTGTTTCTTCGACTGCACTTTCTGCGCATCGTTCATCTCAACATCAGAATCGCTCGACTCATCCGAACTGCTGGAACTTTCTTCGCTGCTGCTGGAACTGCTGGAGGTCTCTGATGAGCTGGAATCGGAAGATTCCTTGGTAGCCTTTCCGGTACTTGCCCACTTGTCGAAAATTTCGATCAAAGGTGGCACATTCTTGGTGTCGGACGGCGACTTGCTAACGGATTTGCTGGCTAGTTCTTTCGAAAAGGCCTTGCTGGTACTGGTGAAGCCAGATTCGATAAGAAAAGCTTCAATCGAGGCGATCAGCTGGGGAGGAATAGATGGTGCGCTCTTGGCCTTTCGAAGCCGAAAATTGTCAGTAAATCAATCCTGGTTGAATGACTAGAACCATCCCACCTTCTTATCCTGAGCCAACTTGGCAGGAGAAGATTTCTTTCCAGCCATAATGATAGTTTTATATTCAGCGTCTCCCAGATACAATGACTGTGTTATCACTGTACGAAGTACTGAACCTTCGTCTATAGGTTTTCAAAGGTTTCCTTGGAGCAAACAATAAAAAAAAAAAAAAAAAAAAAAGAAAAAAAAAAAAAAAAAAAACAAAAAAAAAAAAAAAAAAAAAAAGGGCAAAAAACGCTAAGAAAGCGGTCAATTATAGCGCATTCTGTGATTGGCCAACCAAAGTATCACAGACAGTTTCATTCACGTGGGCCCTCGTGACATGCTGAGTTTCAGCCAATCTATGCAAACCAACAATACTCCACTGGAATCGTGAAGAGGAAAAGTACGACTAAGTTGAGGTTATGAGATGTAATCAATCAAAAGGATTCACGATGTAGAATATGTGACTATGAGTTCCCAATTCTAGGTTCTTCAACTTCGAGTCTATCAAATAGACGGTAGCTGGCTGCACTATATCAACCTCCGGAACGCAGTACATACTCCGTAAGTATGCAGTAACCACGAGCTCTCCGCCCGCTGGTTACTAGCGCCCGCCGTCCATTCCCCCAGTACGTAGCTACTGTACAACTACCGGCTCGCTCCTCTCTGTGGGCTCTTGATTCAACGCCAGCAATCCATGCTGCCACTATTTGGCTTTCTTTCTATACTTTGACATTTCTTTTAATTTTTCTGAGTCAACTACCTCACCAGCCGTCCTCCGAACACGGCGCGCACCGTGTAGCCTAACCCCGATACACCCGATCATGTTCACCTGGCCTCTGGTACCTCCTAAGTAAAACAGGCTCCCGGCAATTGGAAAGCAATAATGAACGGTCGTGATCGCTCGCGGGGCCCGCATCCCGGCGAGATCCCCCCTCAAAGGGATCTGCGTCGAGTCGGTGAAGGTCGCAATGGAGGTCATACTGGGCATGGTGAGGCTACAATGTCGAGGGCTGAGAAATTCGAAGATGAGAAGAGACGGATCATCCAAAGCTGCTTCACAAGGAAAGATGGCGATGGCACGTGTATGTATCTCTCTTGTTGCGCAATGTTGGTTTAGTCGCTTTGCCTTGATTGAAATGGGTTTCGTCATGTCAAATCGTGTATAATAGGTGGCCGCTTTCTCATCTGCCGCGCCTGCTAAGACCTGGACGAAGATCTTTGCACGGCGAAGGGTAGGACCAAGCGCAAACCATGGAGGGTGGATTCGCGGATGGCTTGCTGACTTGTCCTACTGTTCCTAGTGGCTGAATCCTACATAACACATGTTCGCATCACGGAAGATGCTGCGTATCCGTCTTCACCCCCTCCGCCCAATTCCCCGCCCGACAACAAAAAGCCTCGAGCAATAATTGTTGCTGTGAGAAAGTCAGGTAGGGTGCGTGTGCATAAGGCTAGAGAAAACAATGATGGTTCGTTTTCGATTGGGAAAACGTGGATGTTAGACGACCTGTCTGCGATACAATCGTTCAATGCTTGGGTACCATCGTCTCCATTGGAACAACAGCAGAAACAATGGGCCTCAAATGTTGGCTTTGTGGTGACCATTGGGAAGCCCTATTACTGGCAGGCCAGGACATCTAAGGAGAAGGAGTTCTTTATCGGTAGTTTAGTGAAAATCTACAAAAAATATACCGGGGGGAAGGTACCGGAGCTAATGGGCTTCGATGATCTCGAGCGACAATTTCTTGTGGGAATGCCCCCTCCAGGCCCTAAACACCCTGGCCAAGGACCCCCGCGACCTGATGTGGCACTTCCTCCTCCAGGCCCACCATATTCATCCCATGGTAGCCGGCCTCAGTCTCCTTACTCGAGTCGTGCGCCTAGCCGGGATGGGCCTCGTCGGCTACCCTCTGAAGAGCAATCCCTAAGAGCCCAACGAAGTCGGGATCAGATGGGTAGACCATCTACTGCCCAGTCTGGTCAATCTGGGAGAAGCATCCCCCCACCGCCTGTACCGCCTCAGCACCCCCCGCCAGTTCCCCCTGACCAGCGAGACCAGCCACCTCCCCGCTCAACTGAGCGTCTTGCATCTGAAAACCGAATGCACAAGTCACCTGTATCTCCCGAATCGAGGGGCTTGGACATTCCTACCAGTTTACTGGCCGCTTCGGCTTCGAATCAGCGGGATCGACCCAGTGGAGAGTCTGAACGTAACCTAGTTACACGCCCTGAGGTCCAGCCACCGCCGTTACGCGATGGGAAAGGTGTGCCAGAGCCAAAGCTTCGCACTGAGGATTTGGCTTTCAGCTCGCCTAAGCACAACAAAGACGGTTCCCGACCTACCACGGCACAATCGGTTCCGAGTGAGAGTCCAAATGCCAACCCAAGTCCAGCAGGCAACCCGGGGCCTAACCCAGCTTTCAATGAAGGCAGTATCAAGAAATCCAGCCCCGAGGCTCCCTCGGAGTCTCACGACAATATCGCTCCCGAACACACTCCCGATACGCAACCTGTCGAGATACCACCTGCGCTGAAGCTGGCCACGTCAAACGCTGCCAACGCTCAGATGACCGCCGATGTTACCGAAACAATAGCACCCGTAAGCAAGACGGAATCGCAACCCAGCGAATTGGTCCAAGAGGGTGGGCCGATCTCTCCGCCAGCCAGTCCCCCTGAGGTACCCACATCACCTGTTGAAAACGAGGCGGATGCACATCGCCCCGGCCTTGGGCCTATGATCAAGAAAAAGCAGAGCAAGGAAGTTGTCGGGGCATTTCGCAAAGCCGCTACCACTTACGGCGCTTTCAAGCCGAGGCCTGGTGGTGCTGGTGAGAGACTATTAGCAGCCGCAAGGAAACAAAAAGCTGAGGAAAGCAATGGGCCCGATGGAATCACTGGAGTGGTGCCCGCGCCCTCACTTCGTACAGCCATTGAACCTGTGGTATCCCCCGAAACACCGGATAAAGAGATACCAGCCCTTCCATCTCCAGCGAAGGAAGTGCCCTCTCCAGCCAAGTCTCCTATACTGGAGCCACCAACAGTTGAAGTAACTCAGGCTGCCGCTGAAGAAACTACTGTTACGTCGGTGGAGACTCAGGAGGAACCGAGAGACACTTCGAGAGCTACCGTGAAAGTCGTTACGGACGAACGAGCGAGGTCTGTGTCTCCATCTCCTGATGGTCGACGCCGCAGACGCCACGAAGACAATACCATCAAATACTGCCAGGCGCTTGGGATCGATCCCAGCAGCATAAGTGGACGTGGTGCAGACTTTGACGACATATTGACTGATCTTGGGTGGAATGGACGCTTGAATGATGAGAAGAAAATCGAAGATCTTGAGGCGGATATCCGCCGTGAGATCGGTCGTGTTGAGGCTACCAGCTGGCTAGGTAATCTTGAGCAGCAAGAAGGAAAGATCGATCAGCTTGCCAAGTTGATTGATAAGACTATCGAAGAGTGTGAAGAGCTGGATAATCTTCTAACTCTGTACTCGCATGAACTCAATGTAAGTCACCAAGCCCGCACAACGAATATCCCGTCACTCTGTCTGTACATACTGTTCTACGTATTTTCTAACTCCGCGAACAGACCCTTCATGATGATGTATCATATATAGAAACGCAGTCTCAAGGTCTGCAAGTACAGACCGCCAACCAGAAACTACTCCATAACGAGCTTCAAAATCTGCTGAAAACTCTTTCTATCTCCTCTGTTGACTTACGCTCCTTGAAAGAGGCCTCGCTCAGTAACCCTGACGGGCTAAAGGATACTGAGACTGCATTGTCAACGCTGTATAAAGCTATGTTGATGATTGATTCTGATATATGGCAGAATAAGAGGCGATTAGCCGATGCGGCTGGGGATCACGGCAGTGTGGGTGTGTATGCTGATACGGAAATTGGCCAAATGCGTGCGATCAAGGAGAAGAAAGAGGAGTATCGCTCACAGTCCCGGTTGTTCTTGCAGCGACTTAAGCAGTTTATGGCTATTGCTTACAAGGTTGCTGAACAAAAAAGGGTCGACACTGCTGCTAATAGCACGAGAGATCCTATGAAACTCGACAGTCGAGCACGAGAATACTTCCGCCGGGAGCTGTGGATGTATAATGCCTTGATGCTTTTCGCAAAGGAAGTCAGCAATGCAGAGTGGCATGGGCTTATCAATCTGTACGAACAACAGGCTAAACAACCTTACCAGAATGAGTTTCGGGACAATAGCCTTGCTTGGAAAAAGGCGTCGAGAAAGCCCACTGGAGAGGAGCACGAGCTTCTGTTCACACATCAGGAGAAAGAAAAGGAAAATGAAGGTATCACACTGGCTGCCAGAAAGTTGACCGTGAAACGAGGAAAGACTATGAGGGCTGCAGCGGGTCTACGGCTCCCTTCTGGTGACAAACAGCATGGACGTCTGGAACCTTATGAAGCGTTTGCAGGCGCTCTTCATGAGACCTTGAGCATGATATCAGAGGAGCAGAATTTTCTAGTTCACTTTTTCCACCTAAGCTCACTGTCGCACGTCGATTTCCCTGACCTCGTTGCATCTGCTCACCCTGAGGAACGCCGGTTACCCGACTTTGGCGCCAAGCAGTTGCACGATACCGATCGAGGAATGGCACGGAAGGTGGAACAGATTATGGACGAACTGTTTTCATTCTGGCCGAACGATATGCAGAACCTTGTGGATTTGTCCATCCAGGTTGATCCTCTGTAAGTACATCACGAAACAACCCCTTTCATGCCGCGCTAACTTGTTACAGACAAGGAATAGGTATCCTATTTGCTTTGGAAAGGGCTGTTCTGGATTTTGAAGACACCAACCAAGACTTCATTGTTCATTCACTCCAGAAACTCCATTCCCGGTTGATTGGTCTCTTTAATCGCTTTGTGGACGAGCAGATACGTGGAATTGAAGACACCAAGGTTAAGGTGAACAAGCGCAGGGGGGTCATCTCCTTCATGCGCGTCTTTCCCCATTTCTCCGCGGCTGTTGAAAATATGCTGTCACAGCCCGCACACGAGTTCTGTGATATTCGAATCAGCGTTAATGAAGCTTACAACCGCATCAACCGGGCCATGTGGGAGTCACTTAAATTTATCGCCAAAGAAGCTCCTGGTCAACCTCACGGCGCAGCGGCAACTTCGGGCGACCCAGAAGACAAGGAGGCACTGAACTATCACATACTTCTGATCGAGAATATGAACCATTACATTGAGGAGGTAGATGTTCGAGGCCTACCGGTGCTAGAAAAATGGCGCGAGCGGGCTTACCAAGATTACCATGAACATATGAAGCTTTATCTAGACTCTGTCATTCACCGGCCACTGGGCAAGTTACTTGAGTTCGTGGAATCAGCGGAAAGCTTATTGGCGACCACAAGCAACCCGGCAGATATCTCGAGCCGCCCTAGCCATTCGCGCTCGGTAGCGAAGAAAGTTTTAGCCATGTACGATGCGAAAGAAATGCGGCGTGGTATTGAGGCGCTCAAGAAACGGGTGGAGAAGCACTTTGGCGATGCCGATGACCCTGGACTCAGCCGTAGCCTTGTGTTGAAGGTGCTACGAGAATGTGAGAGTCGGTATGAGGGGGCGTATGATCGCACTCGACGCGTCCTCACTACGGTGTACGAAGGCCAACTAGACCTCGAATGGCGTATGGAGGATGCAATTACCATGTTCAAGAAATAATCGGATGCCCTGTGTACTACAAATCAGCACCTCTTCTCTGTTTGCTTGGGTGTTCATTTTTCCCTCTGAGATTCTGCCTTCTACAAGTACCCTTTCTCTTTTCTGTTCTATTTGCACTGGTTTGCTGGATGGGGAGCAACGGAAGCATTTATCCTTGTCCATGGGTCATAGAAATGGGGCGTCTGGATTGAGTAATACTGCGTTATATCACCGTTCTCATGTTCTTTTTTGCCTTGGTTTATCATTCTCCTGCATGATCCACGACTATTGGTAGTATATAGGTGTCTTGGACATCTTGAGGAGGATAGTGATATGAATGTACTATGACCTTGTCACCACTTTGCTGGAGCTTTTATCCTCAATAATGGGCCATCTGCGTACAGAGACTGGTTGTTTCAACCAGGCAAGGTGACTGGCGAACCAGAATAGCCTTCCCACTGGGAGGTCAACCCAGCGAACCAGGAAACTCAGCCAACAAGGAAGAGAGGCAATTGATGGACGATTTCAAGTAACGCACGTATCATTTTAGCCCCTACCCACATATGTAATTACAGGTAATATGATCAATTGCTAGAAAAGGTAGACATGGATTATGTGAAAACAGGGGGTAACAAATAAATTAGTACAGTACAGGCATCACCGAAAAGAAGTGGACGGAATCACCGTACAATGGACCAATCGGCAAGCAATTCTTGTGCTACGAATCCTAGGTTCTAAGTAATAGTATCAGGAAGGGTAGAAAGGACTCAACAGTAGGGAAATAATGAACGAAAGAAGGAAAGAAGTACGGCACTTGTAGTAATATGCCGAAGACTGGGAAAACCCTTGCTCAGGCCGGATTCTAATTCGCACGGATCCCAGCCATCTTAGCAGGAGTTGAGCATGGATGGAGAAAGTAAATGTTTAAGCGGCAACGCGCAACACACTGGTGACTCTGCAGGAGTTTCAATTACTCCACTACCTTATATTTATTTATACTACTTGATATATCAGATTCTTGAATGCGAACACTCCACTTATCTCGTGCCAGGCTCTCTTCTTCTACCCCTGGTGATACAGTTAACGCGTCTATATATTAAGCCACGGGATTGAAGGCCTACATTAGAAGAACTTCATGTATCGATGAGATGAACTTCTAAACTTTATAGATCAACTTTATGGAAAGCTTCCTTCATCCCTGAGGCTCCACACAAGGTATTATTAGTGCCCAACAAAGAAATGTATCCGATAAGGTTATTATATCGTCTAAGTGTACTATTCCAGCCACCTCGGTGCCACTAATTGCCAGATGCTGTGTGTTTTGTTTTCGGAGTAAGAATGGCTCGAATGTACTTCTCAGATTTTGGGCTAAACTCACGGGCCTTTTCTTCGTATTGGAGGTGCTCTGGACCGGCAGGCATGTGTAGAATATATTGTATTCCATTCAACCACCGTGAAGAAATATGTATGTACATGGTATGGGGTATAGATCGACAGCTTTGAGACAGGAGAGCTTCACTTGTGGGGGTGACTTGCCCCCCATAACTCTGCCAGAGTTAATATAAATAACACCTCGAATTAAGTGTATAATATTCCTTACTAAGTAAACCTTGGACCCATTTAAGTACAGAAAGAGGAACCTAAAAAAGAACAAGAGGAGACAAAAGAAAATCAGCCTGTCTTCTTAGTCCTACGAAGTGGGCCCTTTTGACTCGACCGCCTCTACTCCGTACTCCCAATCCTGTACCCTATATCCGATGAGAGTGATATATTGATATATATATGTATATATGTATATATAAGCGGCATCCAATGGTAATTGTATGCTAGCCAGGAAAATCCCTCAATATAGAAACCCCACCCAAAGTTCACTTCATCCTATTCATGGAACATCCATCTAGGGGACGAGTCTAGCCTCAGGCACCTCCCACCCACTAACCCTTGTGTTCTCCGCCTCCCGCTCCGCCCTTTACCCTTTCGAGGTCCTTTAGTCTGTGGCCGGTCACTTAAAGTAGGCTCTTAGTACGATCGCGATTCCTCCGTCTCGATCATTCTTCCCCCAATTCCTTGGGATTACGCTCTCTATATCCATCCCCCAAATCTCTTGCGATCCACTACGTCGTCTTCATATATTCTTTTGGTGCTAATTCTTATGGAACATTCTTCTCGTGGTAAGCTCCTTCTATCCCCTCCCCCTTCGTTCGTCTGCTTCTCCACAGTTCCCGCCAAGATGAATACAGATGGTTGGGCTCCACAGTACAAACCATCTGGCATCCACTGCTAGGGGGAGGAAAGAAATTGGGAGAAAAAGCTCAATTAATCGATATGGCCACTTGGGTGACCGTTTTTGTTAACCCCATTGTATCTCGGCACCCCTATGTGGAATAGTCTTTTCTCAATTGCATCCAATTTCTTTAAATCACCGTGTCGCCTGAGTCTCGAACGCGGTCGTCGCTGGAAATCACAGCTACTAACAGTGTGGATTTGGTGATAGACTTTTAGTGGCCCTCGCCCCCCTTTAAGGATACCAATTCAGTCACTCGATTACTTGTTCGCAATCCGCCCACTTCGAAACCCCCCAGTTCCTCTCATTTTCGCAACAATAGGAGAGCTGCATGTAGCGTCCCAATCCATCGATCAACAAATAATTCCATCACCCACTCTCGCCCCCGCTTCACCGATACCTCCATTCCTCTGACAGCAGTTTTGACGACCGCTGCGGGGTGCGCTCTAAACGGCCGCCTCGATAGCAGACATGCCCTGGCGGCCTCTCTCTCGAATCGCTTTTGCTGTTGCTATATACCCGTTTCAACCCTCGACCCCAGCCGATTTACCTTTGGAGCTTGGCGATGAGCTATACATAATAGAACAAGGGGGTGCCAATGGAGAATGGTGCCGCGGCTATCTCGTGGCTCCGCCATCATTGTTGGCGGGCTTAACGAGCACAAAAGGACAGACCCTGGAAGCGAGGGTCTTCTCTGGCATTTTCCCCCGCAACTGTGTCGAGATTCGCGAGGTCCTGGGCGATGCAGACGGGCAGCGAACTTTGACAAATGGAGACAGGAGGAGTATCGAAACAGGGGACGGCCCGGACGGCGATGTGAGGAGTAGTGTGGTCTCTTTGCATGATGACGAGTTTATGACTGGGGAAGTATCAAACGTTGTGATTGCTAAAAAAGGGAAACCCTCTCAAATCTTCATTCACAAGCTAGATGATGATCAACAGATCCCCCGCTCGCCATATAGTGCTACGTTGAAGTCGCCTTCCCTGCCTCACACCCCTATCACAATGACACCCCGAGACCCGCACGGCCCCAAACCGGCTGCACCTGTACCTATGCTCAAGATCGGTGATGAAACTCCAACCTCCCTGTCGGAACCTCTAGTGGACGAAATTGCCTCGTGTTTGCGCGAATGGCATTCGACGAACCTTCATCAACTCTTACTTAACCGGCAATATGACGTTATCGAGGAGATATCGGCTATTGTTCAAGAACTGGATCTTGCCAGGAGACAGCTTCTCTACAATGTGCTCACCGCACAGGAGAAGGAAGGGTTGCGACAAGAGGTCGTGTGGAAACTGGTGCGGGCAAACAAAATGTTAAGCGGAGACGTCATCGTTAGGGATCCTGAACAACGGGGCCGACTATTGACCGGCGAAGATTCCGCCATCCAATTGACAAAGCTTCAGTCTGAGATGAGCATGCTAGAAAGCAGTCCCACAAATCCATCCGACGTTGCAACGATCCATCACCTACTCTTAGAAGTCAATGCAGTTTCGGGCAACTCTCCTGGTCCGGTTACGCTTGCTGTGAACTTGTGTTCTCAGTCGGAGACCGGTGGCCTCAACCCTCTGTCCGAAACATACATCTTAGACATCCCATCCCCGGAGAAATTTGCAAGTATGGGGCAGAGCAGTAAACTCAAGACTCTTTTCACCGAATTGTGTGCCACAGATATCGGCGATGGATCTGCAAACGGGCCCAAGCTATACTTGGTCGTCGCAGTTCGAGCACCAGAAATTGCCTCGACAAGCCTCCCGTCTCAACCAAGATCTTCAGTTTCTAGGGAGGGATCCTCCGCTTCCAGAACATCAACGGGGGCCAATCAACAAGGCAAGAGCGGTTTAAAGACCCGCCGCAGCATGATGTGGACCTCGAAACCACGCGGCATTCCAAGCGCCGAGCAAGGTAAAGAGATTACCAAAGGCTCGCCCGAATCGGCAGAGAGCACGTCCAGCAACAACCAAGAACAAGCCAATAGCCAGCCGACGAAGGAAACCACTCAGATCCGCACAATAGGCGTGGGTGTCTTAGAGATCTCACAGATAGTTGGCCAAGACAAGGATACTGAACAAGTAATAAACATCTGGTCTTCGTCAGAAGAAAATGAGAATGGGGATGGGCATGCGGATGGCTTCGATGAAGTAATTCGCACATTGCTTCCAAGCCCCAGCGGGAAGTATGTGAGATCTCCACGGGCCGCTCGGCTTCATCTACACCTATACCCCTTTGTGGGCACTGATTCAGATGTCTTGGTTCGGAAAAATCCTACAATCATGCATAACATCGTCCAAACTAGAAGAATTGGTTTTTCCCAGGCTCCGACAAAACCTAGATCAGATATCTATGTAACAATATCCCATGCTACGTTTCCTCCTGAGGCCTTACTTTCGCATCCTCAAGCAGGCCAAGTTCCCGTGCCGACAAATTCAGAGCTCCGCAATCTACAGTTGACCCTTGAGGTACGTGCCTCGTCAGGAGCTCGGATAGAACGATGTGTTTTCCCCTCGTCCAACAATACGGCGCACACAGCTTGGCGCACCACGATAGCCGCACGAGGTGTCCCTTGGAACCAGACCATTCGCCTCAATATTCCTACGGACCAAATTCCTGGGTCCCATCTGATCATGAGCATCGCAAACGCGCCTGAGTTTCCATTTGCTCTTGCTTGGATGCCGCTATGGGACAATCAAGCATTCATGCGAGATGGCCCTCATTCTTTACTGCTACATGCCTATGACAAGTTAACTTCCAGTATCGAGAATGGCAAGGGAGTCTATCTGTCGCTCCCCTGGAGCTCACTGGGCAAGAATGAGTCTGCCAAGGACGAGGCTATCACGGGGCCGTTGGCTACGTTACGCTTGGAGACCAGCCTCTGTAGCACGGAGTATTCCCAAGACCAGGTGATTCTAAGTCTACTGAACTGGCGTGAACGTCCAGTAGGTGAAGTCTTGGATACGCTGAAGAGGGCCCTTTTCGTTCCAGAAATTGAGATTGTCAAGCAACTAAGCAGTGTCTTCGACGCACTCTTTGGGATCCTGGTAGAAAACGCTGGAAATGAGGAATACGAGGACTTAATATTCAAGAACCTGGTCATGGTTCTCGGGATCGTTCATGACCGACGATTCAATCTTGGCCCATTAGTCGACCATTACGCTGAGAACCAATTTAACTTCCCGTTTGCCACTCCCTGCCTCATTCGAAGCTATCAACGTCTCCTACAGGGTGGTTCCGATGGTCAGCAGTCTCGTAACCTTCGTGCCACTTTTAAAGTGGGACGGCACGTCCTTAAATTCATTATCAATGCTAGGCAGCAGCAGAAAGTGAAGGAGGAGGGCATCGGGATCACCCGTGTTCAATCGACTTTCAACCGGGACCTGCACATGATGTTCAAATCTCTTGAGGCTCTCATGAAGAATCCTTCGCCTTCCATGGTTGGAAGCAAGACTCTTGTTGTCCAACATTTTCACACATGGCTGCCGGAGTTAACAAAAGTGCTTCCCAAGGACGAAGTAATCATGATAGCTCTCAGCTTTATGGATTCATGCCAAGATGTTAAAGGTATGCTAATACTTTATAAGCTAGTGTTGATACAGCACTATACACGTCTCGAGATATTCAGTACTGGGCCGGAGAGGAAAAGTTTGGTCTCCAGTTGTATAGGTTGGCTGGCGCCATACTGGGGGGCAATCGGACCTGTCTCTGATTTGTACCGTGATCAAGTTCGGTTGAACTGTGCAATAGTTGCAGAGCTCGCGAAGGAGCCAGACCCATACGTATACGACTTCATGCCCAAGATAGTCTCTTCATATTACACCATTATACCCGACGGTGTGGAAGATACCAGTTATCTCTCTCTGCTCTTCAGCAAATCCTTCCCATTCCAGGTGAAATCGTCCAAGCAAACGCAGAAGTTTGATGAAGCTTTGGTGGAGCTGTCTGCAATCATGGCAGCCACCGCAGCAATACCTAACCCTAAACGACCTCGGCTGAAGGGCTTGGAGCTTGCTACTTTTCTCTCCCAGGCTTTTGAGGTCCATACTTCTATCTTGAATTGCGAGGCATACCCAGAGAGCTGGCTCAGCGTTCATGTATACAACCACCGGGCGACTGTGAAGAGCCTCGAGTATCTCTCTTCGCTTTTGATCGCCAAATTCCTACCGACGCCAGAAGATGCAGAGAAGTTTGATACACGACTATGGGAAAACTTTTTTATGACCCTACTAAAGGTCGTGTCGAGCGACGTCCTAGCTCTCGAGACCTTCCCGGAGCAGAAACGGCGTGCTATCTGGAAGATCGCTGGCGATGTCCGTGAGCAAGGCGCCGAGTTGTTGCATTCCAGTTGGGAAGCCATAGGCTGGGATACCACAGATGAAGAGAGGGAGCAGTATGGCCTGAAAAAGCTTGGGGGATATCAGGTTCAGTATGTCCCTGGTCTTGTGGCCCCTATCATCGAATTGTGCCTCAGCGTCCACGAAGGCTTGCGACATGTGGCGGTTGAGATTTTGCGGACAATGATTCTCAGTGAATGGAGTCTTAACCAGGACCTGTCCATTATTGAAACGGAGATCATTTCTAGCCTGGATAATCTCTTCAAAATGAAGAATATGAACGAAGGCGTTGTCCAAAAGCTCTTCATTTCTGAGTTGACAGAACATTTCCAGAGCTGTTCTTCTTTCGACGAGACCCTCTCAAATGCGGTCAAAGCGCTTATCGCAACTGTAGATGAGCTTCTTGATCTATTTGTGGCCTCCCAAAGTGGATCTATGGCTGAAAGTTTGCATTCCCTCAGGCTGATGGAGTACATGAAAGACATGGGCCGTGAAGATATCTTCATTCGCTATGTTCATGAGTTGGCTCAGCTTCAAGCCGCAGCAGGAAATTTCACTGAAGCTGGCCTTGCACTCCAATTCCATGCCGATCTCTATGAGTGGGACCCCAGGCGATCCCTTCCCGAACTTCTTAACCCTCCTTTCCCAGAACAGACTTCGTTTGAGAGGAAAGAGTCCCTGTACTTCTCAATTATTCAATTCTTTGAAGATGCGAAATCTTGGGCACATGCACTCGTCTGCTACAAGGAGCTAGCTCAGCAATATGAAGATACTATCATGGACTTCGCCAAGCTCTCGCGGGCACAAAGCTCGATGGCTAAGATATACGATATTATTGCCAAAGAAGAGAAACAATTCCCGCGTTACTTCCGTGTGCTGTACAAGGGGCTCGGGTTCCCATCAACTCTACGGGATAAAGAATTCATCTTTGAATGTTCTCCAACCGATCGTATGGCCTCCTTCATCGACCGTATGCAGAGGGAACATCCGGCTGCACAGATTGTATCGCCGGGAGAGGTTCATGATTATGAGGGCCAATTTTTACATATCAGCCCGGTAACTGTGCACCGCGATATGACACATCCGGTCTATCAACGATCTAAAGTCCCCTCATCTGTAAGGGATCACCTCTTGATTTCCGAGCCTTGCCGCTTCAGTTCAACAATAAAACGACATATCCGTGGTGCGGATGTTCAGGAGCAATGGGTGGAGAAGGCAGTCTACACCACTGCAGAGCCATTCCCAAATATCCTTCGGAGAAGTGAAGTGGTTGCAGTTGAAGAGCTAGCGCTTACCCCCATGCAAACCGCCCTTGAACGAACCTGGCGCAAGACTCAAGAACTGACCTTGCTGCAAAGGCGCGCCGCATCTGGTGAGGACATGAGCTTATCGAACTTAACAGAGGCGCTAGAGCAGCTATTAGATCTCAAATCGCCTTCCGCCGGCTGCGTAGCCCTCTATCGACAGTTCTTGTCGCATCCGCAAGGCGATGTTGAGCATGAAGATACGCCAACACCAGTTGATCCTCTGAACCAGGCTCTAGCTGTCGCTCTGATTGATCACGCCTTGGCAATTAAACAAGCCCTGGCTCTCTTCTATCGTCCAGCGCACCAAGCCACGCAGGCTGAATTGATGCGCCGCTTCGAAGAGGCGTTTGCCCCTGAACTTGCTTCTCTTAGTCCTGTCGTACAAGAGACACCCCATTCAGCACCGCGTCAGTCCCCTCGCTCTTTACAAGACCGTAAAGAGCAGGCAGCTTTGCGCTCCAACTCTCCGGAGCAGGAGCTGATCCGCTCTTCGCGGCAAAGCCACACCCGCAAACATTCCCAAAGGCCATCAGTCATTAGTATCATGAACCCCTTCAAACGTGTAAATCCCGCGGCAGGCGGCTGGGCGATCAATGGCAATGGAGAAACCAAGTCGCAACTGGATAATGGTCCAGTTGAAAACAGCCGGGTCGAGGATACGGACCGTGACGATGCAGCAACAATAAACAGCCGGACGACAAGTCAATCACGGGATACTCAGAGTAGGCGCAGAAGCTTCTTTGGAGAGAAGTTGCACAAGCATGCCTCGTCGCTGTCAATCACGAAACCTTTTTCTGAAGATACCCAAGCGCAGATAAGTCAACTTTCAGGTGCTTCCCAAGATACAGGCGCGAAACCAGAGAAATCGCAGGAGACCCTTGGTCGGACAAGTTCACAAAACAAAGGGGCCTCTGGGAATGACCGACCGTCAGTAGCCAGCCCTAAATCTGGATGGTCCACGATTCCTTCTATTAGTGACTATCCTCGCCCAGTGACACAGAGCAGTAGGACCTCACTGAGAAGCCCTGATCTGGGTAGCCCGAAAATTCCCCAGCAAACCAACTTTCATACCGGGGGTGTTCGGGACTCTGTTATGAAAAGATTCAGCCTGCTTAAGGGTGTTGGGCGAAAGGGTAGTCGCCTCGATTTTAGATCTGATACACATGGCATGGCAGTCCGCGAAGAGTAGGATCGCTGGTTTCCGCTTTTTTTTTTTTCTTTCTTTGACCTTTCTTCCCGCCTTTATTCTTTTAATGTCTGGACATTAATGCTCACTACTCTTCTCTTCTTGTTCTTGCTGTTGATTAAAGCATTTTGTCTTTGCATCGCAGCGTACCTGTTCTTTGCTATGCCTCCTTCAAAATTTTCTTTATCATACTTTCTATTTTCTTTGCCTCTCTTCGTCTCTTTCGCCCAGTATGTGCCACGTGCTGGTGACAGTTCCGGCGGCTTCTTTGATTTCTTCTCTCATCTGCATTCTTGACCATTTTTACCTTCTCCTTCTTTTCTCTTCTTCATTTCTCACATTCAGGACATGATACATCAGACATTCCTCCCAGATACCTATCCCTACTCTCATCTCCCTTTTGGCCTGTTGCTGATCGCGACGTCTCTTTTGTTTGTTCAGATAATCCTGGGCCACTTTGTAAATTTCACTACTACCTTTCATATGGTCACTCCCTTTTCCAGCCATCTCTTCTACCCCTTGTTATGTGGACCCCTTTATACCCGTAGGTGCAGGATGGCTGAAGGTCCCGGGAGTTGGATATTTATAAAGAGATTGAACCATGGGAATTATATATAATCAAAAACACGTCACTTAGTTCAACCATAAACTAGCTCCGTAAAGATAATATTTTATCGCAGTAGTCGAAATACAATTGGAATTCAGTCTTGATCCACGACAGGTTGAATTCACTCGTCCAAAGATGCAAAACAAGGATAGTATGTACGCCAAAGAGGACTCCTCTATAGATGCAATTTCAAACAACCACCCAACGTTGACGATGCTAACATGCAATCCCTTAACATTCACGAAGGAAGCTCCAGATCCACCAGCCACGGTGCGTTCACAGCCTGGTACTGAACCGTCACCACGCTCGCATTGACGAACAGCGTCTCGTCGCCCACCCTCAGCGGACTCTTCGACTCCCCACTGACATCTGTATACGCACAGCGATCCTCAAGCGTCGTCTCCTTATCACACTGAATCATCGACTGATTGCGCGTACTCCACTCCACCCGCGTCGCTCCATAAGCTTCATGTATATGCCCAAAAACATGCAACCGCGGCTTCGCCCTCTCCACAGCCCGAAACAGATGCTCACAGCCCACACTAGCATGCGACCCCACCACCTGATCCAAGATGCCATACGGCGGCCCATGCGTCAACATGATATCCACCCCATCGTCCGGCACCGGATTCGGCGGCACAAACACCCCCTCCGCCGTCGACCGCGGCGCATTAAACCGGTCCGTACCCCGGTCATACGCAAACGCCCACTGACAGAACTCCGGCGTATACGGCGACGCATAGACTGTGAACCGCGCCCCGTTCCCCAGCGTAAACCTCTGCACCCCTTCTTCCAGATACCGGATCCCGGCGTTCACGGCCTCCTCGCTCGTCCAGAGCGCCTTGATCTCCCGCACGGATTCCACCCGCCCTTCTTCTTCGTCGGAGGCCCCTACGTTCTCCTTCCCTGCTGTCGCGGATGCCGCCGTGTGGTCCGTCCGGTACCGGTGGCGGTAGTGCCCGATCCGTGTGTAGTACTCTTCGTCTAGTGTGATGTCGTGGTTCCCCGCTACGACCAGCTTCAGCTCCGCCGGCGCCTCCTTCAGCATCGCCAGGATCACTTCGTGTTCGGCCTTAAGCCCTACTTTGGTTATGTCGCCGGCGTGCAGCAGGATGTCGGAGCTGGGGAGGGGGTGGCGGTAGGGGTTGGTGGTGTTTGGGGCTGGGTTGGGGGTTAGAGTGTGGGTGTCGGAGATTATGCAGATGCGGGTTTTGATGGTCATTTTTATGTTTCCTTTTCTTGGGGGTATTTAAGGGGCTGTAGATTGTGTGTGTGTGTTTTGGTTGGAGGGTGGTAGGGAGGGAGTGTAGGTGGTTGTGTTGTGTTAGGGTAGAGTGGGTGTTGTGATGGTGATGGATGTTTATAAAGTTAAAAGATGTTTAGATGGGGGAGGGGCCAACATGGCGTCATAGATACCGACTGCAAATTGGCAAGGCCTGAGAGGGGAAAGGGTGACAAGAACTTTTACGGTATCGATTGTGGGGAAAAGTTTTTTGTATGAAAAAAAACCTTTGGAAGAGAAAAGGAAAAATTATTCAAATTCGACAGAACATAACGAGGATCATTCCATTGCTGACAGCTCAGAGCTCTACACACAATGCACCCGTAGTGCCCCAGAGATCATAAATGTATTCTGGAAAAAATTGCTGAAACTCCGATACCACCCTTTTACAACACGATTTTCCCTTTTTACTTCCGGATAGCCTTCTGGTAGAAAGCAAGCTCATCACCCTCCAGGATGTAACCGTCAACACGACCGCTCTGGCCAGGGCGGGAAGCAATGACAGCGTAGAGACGGCCGGCCTCGAACTGTCTCTCGACGGCAGACTCGACCTTGCCGCTCTCGGCGAAGCGCTCAGCCTGCTTCTTCACAACGCTGTTGCTCTTCTTCTCCTCGGTGGTCTCGGTCTTCTGCTGGCGTCTACGGCCGAGGGGCTGGCCGTAGTGGGCCTCGTACCATTGACGGAAAGGAGCGGCATCAATCTGGACAACGGCCGACTTGGTCAGGGTGTTGGTACGGACCAGCTCGTTGTTGGAAGGGTGGTAGGCGACAACGATGACACGGGTCTTGCGGGAGATACCCTCAGAACCCCAGGAGAAGTTACCGGAGTCGAGACGGAGGGCACGGAACTTGCGGTTACCACCACGGGTGCGGACCAGGTGGATTCTCTTGGAGCCGATACGGGTGTTGGCGGCCTGGCGACCCTTCTCGAACGCCCTGTTGGAAATGTGTAAGAATTTGGGCCTCTTATCTCTGGATTCCACTGAGCTCAAGTTCATTCATACCTCTTCTTGCGGTAAGTGGCCCTCTTCGCACCGGTAGCCGAGCGCTTGTGGCGGGAGTCGCGAGAAATACCCATGTTTGCTGTTTCGAGGGGACTGTGGACAACGACAGACTATTAGCTATCAAGAACCCGTAGACGCAGTGATTCCGTTTGCTTTGGTTTCCTCTTCAAGTTTCCCGTTGGAGCGTGAGATAAGCGAGCGGTCACAAGTCGAATGCACTGGTAGCGGTCGCAAAGCCCAAGCAGATAGTTTATGTATATCGGAGACAAGACGATGTGTGAAAATTTTTCTTCCGTTTTTTCTTTTTCGTCGTTGATATTCCCCTTCGGCTTTCTCCGTTCTCTCCTTTAACTGTGTCCCTTAAACTAATCCGATCGACTTCAATCGCTAAGCGGCACACGGCACGATAACCAACGCTCGACACTCGACGCAACGGTGAAACCAAAAAGAGGAGATCGAAAACACTTGGAATGACGATAGTAAACTCACCTCTAATCCTGCAGCCCTTCACCAGGAACGCAGCGGGCAAGGGTCGTTGGGTGGTCGTGGAGTTAAGTGCTGTCGTCGGACTATCGTGAATTTCGCAGTGTGCCTTCGCTTGAGAAGTTGCCCTAGTCCAAAGTGCGCGCTAGTACCAATAGGGCATAGCACCCATCCCCGTGACCTTTCGACTAGACCGCTTTTGAACAAATCTTATTGTCCCTTTCTATAGAATTTCCGTTGAAATTGTCCAAATGGTTTGAAGATCATAAACTAGTCTACTCTGGTGAATGTCTTATAATAATGTAATCAACCAGCATCTGTGCTTTTGACACTGTCTGAAAAACAGTATGTATACATACATTCATCTGTCATTTCAGGCCATAAACCCTTTGTCCACAAAAGGAAAAAAGAAAGAAAAAAAAAAAAAAATTTTTTGAGCCAGCAAAGACTCCATTAGGTTCTCCCCCCTATGTGGACCATTTTGCCACATGTAACTAATGCATCTGCTTACTACTTGCGATGCTCCTTCTTCACTTGCTCTTCCTTCACCATCCGATCAAATCTCCGGAATGCAAATACCCCCTCAATCATAATGGTTGCTACCCACGCAAACCATACACCGGACAAAAACGGCACCCCGTGAGGTTTCAAGCGCTTCACCGAAAGCAGAACCACTTCAATAGCATGAATGCCCAGCAGAAGCGTACCTGGAATGGGCTGGACGGTGTGACAAAACTGAGTGAATGCTGGGAACCTGTCAAGGCCAGCCGTCTCGTAGAGCAATGACCCAGGCAAGAAATTGCTGCGTCGAGAAAACACAATTAACGTAGCTACGACCACAGCAAAGTTTATGGCCTCCCACCCTCGGGGTGCTCTATACTCTTTGATGATGATATCCGAAAGCCCTAGCCGTTCAAGACACTCCTTGTGCATTGCCACCACGCGCTGTCGAGTATCGGAAAGTGTTTTCATGGGTGGATCTAGGGGCACGCTGTAGCGGGTGCCCTTGGCGCTGATGAGCAGATCAGACAGAGTGATGTCTTCCAATCGTGCGGCTTTGGCGTCTCCATCGGCGACCTGGCAATAGACGCGGAGGTACATCGCCAGCGATTTCTGGTGGTCTGCGTTCATGTGGTTGATAATGAAGTTTTTGCTCGACGCAGATTTGTCGTCGTTGGATGCGGCCATTGTTGCTGTTGGGTGGGTCTTTCAATTGAACTCCGGTGCTTTTCAGGTCTTGAGACAGTCTGAATGGAGGTTAGAATGTATGTACCTCCAGTTCGTCAGGTACTCCGCTTCAGGAGTTAAGTAGTTGACGCCGTTTGGTAATGCCAAGCTTCTACCTCGGCTTCTATCAAGACACTAACGTTCGGATGGTTGCGATGCTCATGTGCTTCCCTTTCTCGGTAGTCTACTTACCTTTTTGCTTTAGGGTAGATAAGCTCGAATCCAGGTACTTGAGACGTTTTAGGTATGCAATGCGATTGATCTGCTACCAGAATGTAATCGCACGTGATGTCTATTTCCTGTTTAGGAATCGCTTTGCCCATCATGTCTCTCTTCGACTCCCTTCCAGAGTAGAACACGAATCCTCCATCACCCTTTATACTATATATATAGAGATATAGATATCTCACATACTTCCGTGGTGACCTGTTGGTTGAACCATGTGGTTGTCCAGAGCTTATACTCTTTTCGAGTTATTTCGAGCCTACAATCTAGCAGTCATCCGGTCTCATTTGCCTACACACAGTGAAACCGAAAAGAAGCATTACACCATCGTGTAGAAGGGCCCAACTCCCTTCTATATCACGCCTGAACCGGCTATGCTGACTCCACCAGAGCTTACGTGACTCATCCAGTCTTGTCAGGATCTATCGTGGGTCAATGAGGCCGCTTTGAGTTTAGATTGTGTCATTGATCTCTAAACCATTCGCTATATTCTGCACGCTTGAAGTTCGCAATGAAGATAACTAACATCAGGAATCAAGTATATATGTCTGAAAAATAATAATGGAGACAGCAAAGCAACCAGAAGCCAAGATTTTCAAGCCGGAACACAAATACCAATATGAGACACATGCAATTAATCATACCAACAGGTGGAGTATAGTAATTATGCACCAAAACAGAAAAAAGAAGAAAACATTACCTGAGCGCAGGACTCTATTGAACAAACAGGAAACATGCAGAACAGGTTGCTGTTTCCCCAGAACATTATCATAAACTTCATGCCACAAATGTTCATCGATCCGAGGGACGAGGCGGTCAAGAGCTAAGAAAAGAGGCGAAATTAACATTTTCCCCAATCATGCACTGCGATTGATAGGTTAGGTCCTATTCTATGTTGAGTCGGGTGGAATTGACTGATGGTGCTCGGGTCCTTTCTGAAAACCAAACGAAATGAGATACTTACAGCAACGACAGTGTCAAGTCTCCGTGAATGTGGGCTTTGAGTTCTACCTCGATGTCGAGGTTCAGCTCCAGTTTCAGTTTGAGGCCATCCTGCTCATCATCGTTTTTCCCTTGTCCTGGAGCGTCCGTCATGGCTCCATTTGTGATCGTGCCCTGTGTTAGGGACTGTGTGCCGCGCTTATATGGCTGCATGGCATTGCCCTGATCCGCATCGTCATAGTCATCGTCATCGTATTCATCGGAAAGATAGTCACTTTCATCCTCATACTCGTCGTTTTGACGCTTGCGTTGCTGCTGTCGGCGTCGTCGAGCTTGCTGTCGGTTCGGACGCTGGGGTTTCTGATCCTGCTCGTCTTCGGACAGTGAATAGTCATCCGTATCGTAATCGCCATCTGAGTACTCGTCCGGCTGAATGGCAGGTTGTTCTTCTTTCTTCTTCTCTGCAGTGGCCATGCTGAGAGGTATCGATAAGGATTCAGGAGAGGATCGAATTGCAGGCAAGGAGAAGGGCGCGATAACTGGCGATGCGCTTGAATCACAACACTGAGTCAAAACGAGAAGTAAAACCTATAATCGGAAATACTATCGGAAACTAAATACGTCTAGAAGTGTAGGGGGGGAAACTGTTGAGCAACAGAGGAACTTGGGAGGATATTTGCCAGTGCGGCTAGACGATGAAGGTCGTTCTTCTGTACGATGGGGCCAGCGAAGAACAGCCACCTACGAATTGCCCCCCTCGCCATGAGCATGACGTTGTCTGTGTACCTCTACCTGCAAGATCACCGGTAGTGCAGCTAATCAGCGTGGCGCTACTGTTCTTGTGTCAGACCTGGAGGGTCAGACGGACGGGACAAACTCTGGGGACGATAACGTAGCCCATGGAGGGTGATTGACAGCAATATGTTGTCGAGAGGCGGGTCCCCCCTGTCACCGTTCCAAGGATAACATGCTGTTCCATAATTATCGCAGCCACCGACGGAACTACATTGACTGATGATTCCACCGGCTTTTGTTCGGATGCGAACCGCGGATCAATGGCGCTTTCTTTACTTTCCCACGCGAAAAGAAGCCGCGGGAACCAAGGAATCCAAATCACAAACAGCAACGCATCTCCGTCTTTCTTTGACGGTATGGTCTATCACAATCGGAACATCAAAAGTCGCTTCTGGCCCACCATTCTCTCGATAGATTGTATGATGATCTGACGTGCGTGGCGTCATCCCCCCAGTTAGTGGTCAAGACTCAAGGTGGACCAGCAAATATGGAGACACACGGTAATTCTCCGGCCTTGTTTCATTGGCCTATCTGGCAACACATCTGCCGCTAAAGAGATTAAACACCACTGCGAATGCCGGCAATCTTTCACCGTAGCCCACCTTCCAAGGCTAAAACAAAAAAAGGCTGAGACACCCTTGTGTAAGTCGACGTCATTCTGAACGGGCTTCAATATTCAACGCTTCAATCATGTTTGGTTCCCACCCTCCTCCCTCTTGTCGCACTGATGACGCCGTTGATCTTCGCTTTGGCCCTTGGCCCAATCCAATCGATCAGAGATGGTCATAGCTGACGTCGACTGTGGGCGGCCGGTTGCCAACCATGCAAGACGCTCGCATCATATAAATGATATTGGACGATGTGACCATGTTTTAACACTATATCACGAGCACTAGACTGCTAGCACAGAATATAATCCCTCGCCTTCCTTCTCAACATGTCCGACAAAGAGGATAACAACCCTCAACCCCCTCAGCAAGAGAACAATAACCCCGAGGAAGAGAATAACAACCTGGGGTCCCCTCAGCCCAAGGAGGAGCAGGACGTTGAACCCAAGCAAGAGTCCCACTCTGACGCTGAGCCTAAAGAAGAACCCAAGTCGGACAACGAGTCTAAACAAGACCCCCAGCCCGACCCTAAGCCACAAGAATCCCAACCTGACACTGAACCCAAGCAAGAGCCTCAGTCAGAAGCCGAGCCCGAACCTCAACCCCAGCCTCAAAAAGAAGAACCTCAGCGGCGTCCAAGGAAACCCCGCCCACAGAAGTACCAACAGGACTCGGATACTGAGAACATCAACCGCGGCGACATGGATAACACCGCTGTGGAGAAGCCTCGTCGTCAGCGCCGCTCACGTCGCCAGCAACAAGATGGCGGTCCCCTCGGCGGCCTCGGTGGTATAGATCAGGCCGGTGACCTCGTACAAAATACAGCCGGCAATGCCGTCAACGGCGTGACCAACACCGCCGGCAAAGCTGTGGGAGGCATCCTAGGCGGCAACAAAGGGGAAGGACAGGAAGATAGCGGTGGCAAGGACGAACAGCTGCGGTTGCGGCTGGACCTGAACCTGGATATCGAAGTGCAACTCAAGGCTAAGATCCACGGTGATTTAACCCTCGGCTTACTGTCAGTTCAACTCTCCCCCCCCCCCCTCCTTACCTTTGCGCCTAAAAATATCAAGCTAACTCTACATAACAGCAACTAAAAACGAATATGAACGCGCTTAATAGAAAAAGCACTTATCCCACTTCGTCGGCTCTCATATGAAATTTTTCGATACCATGTTACTGTTCCACTTCCCTCCGCCTGCGTATATTGTTGCCTCTTCTTGGTCGATAATCGCAGATTAGATGGTCCTTTCTCCTTTCTTTTTGTTCCCCTTGGGCTATATACTTATTAGCGTTGGTTATATGATGGCATGAGCAACGTTCTCTCCTTTCCTTCCGTTGGTGCGATGCTTGCATGTATATTAATTCCAGGCTTGACTATGATCATGGTTAAGTCGTTGAGTGCGTGGAATGGATTATTAATGAATTGCAATTATATATCCTTGAATCACATCAGATAAAAGAAAGAGAAAGAAGCCATAAGACGAAAAATGTAAAACAGAACAAGGCATAACCGTTGATTCAATATATGTATGTAAATATCGAGACCAGTATATGTTTTGAAATAAGTATACCCTTTCTACCGTTCTATTTGTACTCCATCTACCACATTGTGATGCCCTAAATATACCTCATATTGTGAAAAAAGGTATCGCATAACCTCCCAAATGTGAATAATATATATATCGTAACTCATTTGGGGAGAGAGAAAAAAAGAAAAGAGAAAAGAGAGTGTAGGGAGCCAGAGGTCATATCATAGCCCAGCTATGTACATGAGAGCATAGCCGATCGTGACGATAACGGCCCACGCCATCAGACTGGCAGGAATGCCCCTGGTAAAAAAGTGGTGGACTTGGAGGTATCGTTGGCCGGTTTGCGGAACCTCGGTCATGATGGCGGCTAAGATAAGGTTAGCAAAAAGTTATTATCGAAGCCTAAAAAGGAAAGGAGACCATACTCATGTTAGGGAAACCACTGGTCGGCAAAGCCATAGCAACAGAGCACATAAGAGCGCTAGCCATCACCAACAGATTGGGGTGTGGATCCTCCATGCCGACGCCGATCTGTCGAACGAGAGGCAGAATGATAAGTGCCGCAACAGTGTGGGAGATGAACGTGGCCATGACAAGAATCAGGACGGAGAACACAATCAAGACGCCATAGAGACTTAGATGTTCCACACGGGCGGTAATGCCATTCGCGAGAGTGTGTAACAAACCGGAAGACGTAACAGCCTTTCCAAGACAAAGGCCACCGGCGGCCAGGATGATAATGGTCCAGAGAAAGTTGTTGAAATCTTCCTTGTTGAGAATGCCGGTTCCAAAGAAAAGGACCATCGGGATAATAGCTATTACGCCCATATCCCCGAAGACATGCTCAAGTTGATGGCTGCCGCACCACAGGGCGATGGTAGACAGGGTCACAATGCTGATGAACCATTGGACCCCAGAAAACTTATCTTTAACCGGCCGAATGGGGACAAGTGTGGTGTCACGACCAGGATGGAATGTGAACACCAAAAGAGCCCATATCAGCAGGATGGAGATAATACAGACGGGGAGTGATACAAAGAACCACGTGCCCCAGCTGATGCTCGGGTGCATGTTCTGAAGCGCAATGATATTTTGTGGTGAGGCGATCGGTGAGGCAGCACCCCCAACATTCGCGGCCAGTGCAATTCCCAACACGAGAGCTTTAGCGAAGTTCGAATCTGGAGGAAGATTCCGAAGCAGAGGCTGAAAACATTATGTTTAGCAACGATGATGTGGTAGGATATGGGCCAAAATTACCTGGATGATCGAATAGCAGAGGACGGGCGAAGCCACGTTGCTAATCCACATGCTCAAAAACATACTCACGAACATATTCGTGAGAAGGACCACACGGGGGCTGGATCCAGCTTTGCTCAAGACGAACATTGCCATCCGACGAGCAATGTCATATTTGGACAAGGCTGCAGCGATGGTGAATCCGCCAAGTAAGAGCATTATCACTGGAGTCCACATAGCACTGAATGCAGCACTAGTGGCTTCTTTAGGCCCCAGACGTTTGTAAGGCTTCTCTTCCGATTTCATGATGCGTAGCAAGACAACAAGGAAAGGGATCAGCAGAGACGTCACAAAGAGAGGAATAACCTGTGGTCGTGCATTTTGTCAGTAAAGTAATATGGGGTAGCAGAGCGCATTATTTACCTCTGTGGCCCATAGCAAGCTGACGAAAATCAGCATTGCCAAACAGTTTTGCTGCTCAGGCTTGTCCATTATCGGAACTGTGAGCAATGTCACAAACACAGCCAGGACAAGAACCAGAGTTCCAAAACTCAAGCTGCATAACCACTGTGGAGGATGAAAGATGCCCAGAGGCGTCCTAAACTCTGTAAGAGAAATTTCCTGCTCGTCACCTTGTCGTCGTGCAGCTGCGGGGTCTTCGTCTCCCCCCAGGATTGTTCTACGGATACCAACGTTTGCAGCTTGGGCTTTCCTTTCAATACCAATCATTTCCCTCCAGACTGTGTTTCTCTCCCAGACTACATGCTCCCTCAAGTGTAGCCGAAGCTCTCGCCTTGCGAGTGACAAATCACCGGTCGTGACAACATCCGCGTAGACCATTTCGATCTTGCGGATGTCTGTTTCCACCCTTGACATGGTCGACTCAGTGAATGGATAAGCCAAGGAGACAGTTGAGTTCATGTACTCCCGTCGCAAGCTGCGGTCGAGGATCTTATCGTACTTCTTCAAAGCCTTTGAGAACCCGGTTTTGTTCAGCTGAATGTACGACTTCAGCCCACAAAGAGAGACGTATGCATCCACTGCCCGTTTCTTCAAAGAAAGCCCTGAATTGTACAGTTCTAAGACCTTTGGATCACCAAAATGCTCAACCTGAGCTCTATTAGATCTCGCGACCCTCGAATCTCCCATATGGCCAGATTCGCCCATGTAATCGGTTCGACCATCATCAGGATTAGTAGAACCGGCGCCATGAGATACGCGCCTCCCATTCTGCACCGACAAATGTTCGTCGTCACTATCGGCGTCGTCATCATCATCCACGACGGAGTCGGTAGCGCTGCTACGGCGCCGATCTTGATTTAGTGGGAAATCATGATACCCATTTCCAGAACGCCGCCGAGAACCGGAACTCATCGTCCTTGTCTTGGTCATATGCTCGCTCATTGGGTCCACATTAATCCCATCGGCCTCCGAAGCATACTCCTCCGCATCTCTGACCACCTCTTCAACTTCCTTGAGGATCTCTAGCTCTTTGTCCTGGTAGAAGGTGCATATTTTCTCTAGCTCAGCGTCTAGAGCTTTCCGAAATATCGCATCGGTATTCGGAGTACTATCTAGCAAAGGAGCCGACTCGACATCAGCTTGGGCTTGCCCACCGGCTTTGCGGACTTGTTGTTCCAGAGTGTAGATCCTAGAATACAGATAACACAGTGAGCAATCCACACAGGCAAATTCTTTCAGGTCAAAGAGGCGTAACATTTCCCGAGTGTAGAGTGACAAATTGCTCCCCCTTGCATGCAAAATGATCCCAGCTAGAAAATAGCTCTATGCCTGGCCCCGAAGACGGGGTAGAAGAAAATGGAGACAAACATGGCAATTGAGCCAGAGCGAGGGGGTTGAGAGAAGTTATGAAGACCTACAATTTCTTGAGGTTGCTGTACGCAAGGTAGTACGAGCTCCATTCGGGAACCGCATTGAATTGGATACTATGAGAAAACTTCATCTTGGACTGGGGCTCCGGAAACCGTGAGCGACGATGAACTGCCTCTACCCAATACTTGAGGCGAATTGGCTTGTCCCACTGGACTTGCTGACGAGTTTGGCGGGAATTGGGATCGGAATGCCCGAGCGTTCCCGTTTGAGAAGTACGATCAAGTAATTGGCGATGACCGATCGGTCGAGAATCAAATTCCTGAGATCCGGTGTGTGACTGCCAGGCCCTGGTCGAAGTGGAGGGTGGGACAGGATACTCCACGAGCTCGATATCCTGGCCAGATAAGCGGGGGCGACTGGTCACGTCGATATCGTCAGGTGAGGCACTGGTCGCAGAAGCGATGCGTGCCACTTTCGGCCCACCAGCATGCGACGACACGGTGGACAGGAAAAGAAGAACCGAGCAAGGGGAGGGGATGGGATTCGTTCGTTGTCCAATGTTGTGCGGGTGTTAGGCCGCTTGAAGTGTTCGGTGGCACACTAGTAAATAGTGAATCCCATCACACGTTGCACGTCGGAGAATACTATGTACAGAACCAGGAGGATAGCGATATCGGGGGGCCAGACAGTACATGCATCGATACTTAATGTAGTATCATAGTCCACAAAGAACACGAAGGAGTTTCCTATCGTTTTGCTTCCCCCCTTGAGTAGACACCGAGAGGTTGAATTTGCGGGAAGAGACCCGACCAAATGGGGATTCTCGACATGAAGTCACGTTCCTGCAGCTGACAAGGGGATTGCCCAATCAGGTTAGCTTCCTCGTCATCCGTTGGAGTCGACGAATAATCGACCTGGAAAAGGGAAAGCGTTCAAGTTCCGATAACTCACCAGCTGGATTTTGACCCATAGAATGAAAACATATTACGAGAAGGATTCCCTTGGCTGTGAGGGAACTGATATATCGGACTTGACGTATCACCGAGTTTCCAACTTGTCCTTCCCCAATGTATTTGTCGTTTCTGAAAAGGTCATCACTTGACTACCAATGTGCTTGTCATGCACAGTTAACATGACACTGGTCTTTTCATTGGGGCCGAGACCGCTCCAAAAAATATATACTGGGGTACTCCGTCCATACATACTAGTACTCTCCTCTACAAATAAGCAACCATGGTGAATTAACAAACCACAAGAATCACTTTCACTATGATAAATAATAAACGTAAAAACACTACCTATACAGATGCATCAGGTGCTTGAAAGAGTCCATAATAAAATACAGAAAGGAAAGAGATCCCGCATCTTCCATCTAATTCCCGAAACGAAGAAAGAGAAAAATCTCATCGAATGCAGTACCGCAATAACTCGCAATTGCAATGCCAGCCTGTCACGGCGTCTGTATGTAGGCATGTAAGTCAGCCTACCGACGACCACCGACCATGCCGAGATTCGACCGGCCTGCGATACCGAGCTTGTGCTGCTGCTCTCTCTTGTCCCACACACCACTGCGGCCCTCTGCAACCGCAACAAGCTCGTTGGCTACTCGCTGCGCAAACTTGCTGTCACGTCGTTTATCAGAGCCATCGATAATCCATTTGATCGCTGTCCTGCGGCGTTGTCTCAGTGCGAGCGGAACCGGAATCTGCACCGACGCACCACCACCGGCGATACCTTTCTGCTGGCGAATCTTGACCAGAGGAGCGACGGAGTCGACAATCAAGGTGAGATATAGGACAGGGTTTAGTGGAAGTTGCGGGGCGGGAGGTCCAGGAAGCAGAGGCCGCTTGGGGTTAGGCTGAGGCGGAGAGGCAGTCCGAAGGTGGTCCAGAATGAACGCCATATCCTGCACAGCAACATGAATTAGTATCTTCACCATGTATTTTGTACGTAAAAGTAGAGCAATGATCTAACCCCAAGGGTTTCACGTACCTTCTGGGCCCTACTCAACTTGCCGTCCGTCATTAAGAGTTTGGTAAATTGTTCGAGCAGCGAGTCATATCTTGTGCGAAAGTTCTCTGTCTTGGGAAGGGTCTCGACAGGGTCAAACTTGATCCCATCATGAAGTTCCTCAGCCTGCTGGTTGACCTGCGAAATCATGCTGGCCATCACTGCGGCAGTCTGCTCATCGAAGCTCTTTCCTTGGCCATGTAGTTCTGCCTGGCTCCGGCGAGTGGATGTCGAAAACGAGCGAGTACCAGTCGATGACTTGATCTGGTCTTGCATGACCTTTGGCATGTGTTTCTGGGCTTCTTTGTCCCGTTGGAGGATCTACACGGAAAGGTTAATAGGATTGTTTGATTTCCCAACAATCGGAGCAACGGAGGCATAGAGAGATCACACCGAGGCGGCTTACCTCTGAGATAGGCGTTCCTTGCTCCAACTCCGGACTGGCGGGAGTGCCGTCGCATTTCTTGTCCATGATCTTACTTATCTCCGCGGCCTCCTCGCTAACGTGAGGTAACGGGTCCTCCGTGGGAGCCTTTGGCCTCTCCGAGTTGTCTCCTCCCGACGCTGAGGAGTTCCATCTCTTCTGCATTCGCGTCGAGGACGACAGGCCTGTTTTCAAGCCATGGCGGGCGGATCGGTTGCTGTTGATAGTAGTAGCGATACTGGGTCGGGAAACGTTGACAGAGGTTTGGCGAAAGACCGGGACAGCGGTCCTCGCGTTGAAAATGTTGAGACGGGGTGGCATGCCGGAACGCACTCTTCTAATGTTGATCTGGAGTCAAGGGTGGACTATGGCTGAACCGACAATGATCTCGTTCGCCCTCTGCTTTGGGAATTCGGCGAACGATTTTCCTCTCCACGACGGCTTAGTCATCACCCGCCAAGAATCGACAGGCTCCTGAAAAATGATGAAGTCATACAGTTCCAGTAACTACTAACCACAGTCTGTTGTTGGCAGGATCTCTAACATTCGTTCGTGTATCCTATTCTCTCAATGCCAAACCCCAAGATTTTAATATTACACAAACCTAACTGAAGCATCAAATTTTGCGGTGTCCAACGATATCATGGCCTAACTCGATATCACCAAGATTACACGACCAGACAAAGAGAGCCACCCAGCGCAACCAAATCAAATGTGCCATTTCTCGGCGAGCCACGCAATAATATAGACCAAAGTGACTGACCGGCAGTACAAGTCCTCTGGATACCGTGTGAAACGATTAAAGGGTAACAAGTTCGGGAAACATCCAAGGATGATTTACAACAAAAAAAAAGTATTGAGAATCAATAAGGAGGGACAGGAGATTCGCTTAGATAATTTAGGAGGGTAGACAATGTAACTTAGTTTTGTTCTCGTCAAAATCCTCACAGTTCCTCAAAGGGTAGAGGTGATTGACCACGCCAATGCGCGTATTCATGTGTGAAACAGGGCGTCGTCGGTGGCCTGGTCTGGGTATACATAGAATGCCAGAGCCAGAATAACGTACCTAAGAAGTGCGTTAGTGAGAATCAAGTCGAAGGGACAATCGTCACATACATTCCCAGACACAAGCCGCCTTCAAGATAGTTTGACTTCCCATCCTGGATCAAGAATGTTACAACTAAGCCGGAGATAAAAAAGGCGACGGTTTCGAAGATGTGGAAGTGGAGAGTCATATCCACATCGAGGATCCAGCCCAGAATAACGAGGAAGGGCGTGACAAATAGAGCGATCTGCAGGCTACTGCCGATGGCGACCCCAATGGCAAGATCCATCTTTCCTTTCCAAGCGACCACAACCGCTGTCACATGTTCCGCAGCATTTCCTACAATGGGGATGAGGATCAGACCGATGAAGGTTCGACTCATACCAGTGCTCTCCACGATAGAATCAATGCTGCCAACAAGATAATCGGCACATACGGCGACGAGAATTGTCACCACAACCAAAGCAATACAGGCAGCCCAAGGGGAAAGGATGTGCTCTTCCTCCTCTTCCGCCACATCATCGCCTGTATTTTCCGGGTCTGGGGTGGTTTCCTCAAAGAACGACGCATGTGACTTGAGCTGGAAATAAAGGTACATCACATATAGAATCAGCAAAATGATTGCAGTGCCATGTGAAAGGATGAGAATATTCTTGTCTCTGTTAGCCCCATCGCCAGCTGAAGACAGAGATGCGTAAAGTGTCGCAGGGATGATCAAAGAAGCAGATGCAACGGTCATCAGTGACGACATGGTCGATGCCACCGTAGTGTTAAAGGATTGTTCAGAGTAACGAATACCCCCAACAAAGAAGCAGCATCCTAGCACCAGGAGGATATTAGACAGTATACTACCGAGCATACTAGCCTGGACGACACGGATTTGCCCATCCTTCAGGGCAATGATACTAACCTACCATCACCCCCCCAAAAAATTAGTCTAACACCAGAGAAAAGCCCAGACATGGGGGACGGGACTTACGATCAATTCCACGGCATTGCCAAAGGTAGCGTTCATTAATCCGCCTAGGGCCTGACCCATCGCCGCTGCTAGCTCCTCGGTCGCGAAGCTCAACAGAGATGCTAATGGCACGATTGCTAGGAAATTCAGTGCGAAAACAGCTGTACTATCCCAGCCAAGAGCGCCTGCAATAATGCCAAACGGTACGAACACTAGGAGGAGATTGACGTAGTCTCGTACAAGGGTAGCCCATGTCAAGTGGACAACTCTTACCGGCCAGTAAGCCCACGGCCTGCGTTTATGGCGTGGAACAAGGCCGGAGTTGGCTCGAATAGTGTCACCGATCAGGGCATCTCTTTCGTTGGGCTCCCTCGAGCCATTCTGAGAGAGGCCAGTCATAGTTCTTCTCGAACCCCAAGAGTGACTTCGGAAACTTGTACGGAAATTTTTCGGCGCTGTACATGAATTTTATGAGCGTGAATTAGCCTGGACCTCATCTCCATGTCTCTTAGGGTAATCCTTCAGGCTCGGAGAGGAACAACGAAAGATGAAGTGACATTGACGCAGAGATAACGTCAAAATTTCAGACTCCAGAAGAACAACGAGACGTGGCTGGGATAAAACTAAAGAATTCGACTTATCGAAAAAGTGAAGGGGGATAGGGGAAAGGAGATGGAAGGGGAAATAATACAAAAACACCAACGACTTGGGTTTGGGACAGGAGGGCAAACACACTGTTGGATGGAATGGATGTACCCTCTAAGAATACAATCCTAAAGAGAAGAGGTGGGGGACGTGAGATTGACGATGAAAATGAAGGAATCACAAGTGGGTAGTGCGAGAGAATAAAGTAGTAATTAAACAGAGTTGACGACAGAAGAGAAAGATGAAGAAGGAATGAGTTTCCACCTACACATTGGAGTAGTGGTGTGGTGGACAATTCGGCACCGCAACCCGCAATTACTTGAGAGATTGAGGATCGCAAGATATCGACAATTTCTTAGAACTTGGCACGGGATTAAGTGAAGAACCGTTCAAAATTTGGCGCACTTAATGGAGTATCCAAGTGGAGGTGACGTTATGCTGTGGCTTGTCGGGTGACGATTTCACTGTAGAACCAAGTCAAGACTTAAAGAGTATTCTATCCCTTAATTTTCTTCCAGGATTTAGACTTTGCTCTTCTCCAAGCTCGACCAGAGAGCGTGAAAGGCCAAGAAAACTAAAGAGCTCGGAAGGGTTGTACTGGAGACAGCAGCCACAACCATGGGCTGGTGGACAAGGAGATAATGAAGGGCCGTGCGGAGTTTTAAATTCCAGAAAAGAGTTTTGCGCCCTCTCAATGGCGGTACCAGCGGTGGCTGGAAGTTGATCGGATCAAACTAAAGACGATGGGGAAATTTGGTGCCAGAACCGACTCAATTGGCTTCAGCTTCTTGTCCCAAGACGTGCACAGCCTCGATTTGTGATGATTAAACAGCCAGGGATGGTTTGTAGGAAGCTAAGGGTGGTCACTATGTTGAACCTGGTTAGCAGAACGATTGGGAGTAGTTCATTAGTGGTTGCTAGGCGAGTTCAAGGAACGGGAGGTCCGGATACCTCGAGTGTTAAGATCTGGACTAGGAGGTCTGGGCAGCAATCCCAGGCTTTTTAATCTAGGGGATGGTGGTCGTTGAAAAATGATGACGTTGTGCACGCGGGGACGACTCTGTACTGAATGGACTCGTCCACGCTTGATGCCCAAAGGATTGAAATGGTCGATGATCGGTTATCGGTCTCGTCCGATTGTTGGTAATTGTATGAGCTGGAAGGAAACCTTCGTCCAGATGAACAACTAACCGAACTCTGTTCATTCTGTTCTCACTTCAATTTCGTGGTGGAGCCCATGCAGGAAAAGCTTCGTTCCTTCTTTGGGCTTAGTGGCAGGAGCTTCCAGTGGTTACCCGAGCGTCCATCAGTACCCAGTACAGGCCAATACTAGTACTACCTGTAGGTACGTCTGATACATACCACAGTACGAGTATTTGTTCACGACTATTGGATTAGACCCAGTTCTGTAAGTAATTTGGATGCATCAACGCAGGAAACCCCACCTCATGCCCGCGGCGACACACAATGACTGCGCTGAAACTGTGCTGTTCCCACTCATGGATCCTCGATTCTACAGAGTTTGAGATACCCGCCAAGACTGAACACTGCCACAATTATGTCTCCACTTCTTCCCGGATTTTAGACTCCGGAAATCTGCGAAGTACTAGTACTGTGTAGTACTAGTAGAGATATGCGTATGTATGCACCGTTATGTTACGGTATGTTGTGCAATCATACAAGTACTTCGTCCTCACGATTAAAGTTGTGTATATATATATAATACAGAGAAGATGATCTTTCTCTATTCTGAAGAGAAGATCGACGATATCCTACAGACACACACAGCCCTGGTTAGCGTGGATTCGAAGTCTTCTCATCCAACGTCATCGCCACATGAAATGTGAGAAATATCGGTGTGGCGCATTTCCCCCCTCCAGGCCACCTGAGCAGGATATTCGTGGCTGGCGACAGTTACATCCGGAGTACATGCATGCTGAGGAGGACACTACGTACTCCTACTGCAGACGTATTAGCCGCAATTGGTGAGCGGCCCGCAGAAATACCCCCACCAAATCTATCGGGATTTTGTGAGAATACCCGGTGGACAACTTTCCCACATCGCATCTGAAACCCTAGGGGAGCATTTGGCGAGTCATGGACAAAAAGATCACATGGTGGATCAGGGTTTGCTCAGCCGCACCTGAAGCAAGGTTCCTACAACCAAAGTGATGTCTCACGAGCTTGGAAAAAGGCACTCAGATTGATATCTATAGCTGCTGTGGTGCTGCGAGGCCGTTCAATATACACAAAAGTAATCACTCAACTAGATTCTGCATGAAGACGAAGACACCGACCTCGAACATTGCGGAACATACTATATCGCCCCGTCCTAAAAATTGAGAGGACCGAGGCTAGAAATAACTTACTCGTTGAAACTGATGGTTTGAACACTCTAGGCGCCGCCGAGTCCTATACGCTGTTAGTGATGCCATTGAACCCTGAAGAATGAGTAGTCAACTCACCTGCAGCAAGCGCAAGGTACCAAGTCCGTGTTGCTCCCCCATCAATCACACTATAGTCAAAGTTCGGTTGCGCGAAGAAATTCCAGGATGAAACTGGGTCGATAAGGGCAAGGTTTGCATACAAGACCCCTTTCCATCCAGCTTGCACATGTTCTGCCGGAGCTGCAGCATTGGTTGCAAAAAGGGCATCCCACTCTTCCTTGACAAACTTTTGGCTGCGCACGTATGGCGAGGCTGGTAAGAGCGGCAGCATGTGAATCCTATCCAACACATTTAGCGACTTGGTTCTAGGTGATTGAAACAAACCACCTGCAGAGCTAGATGGACAAGGTGTTCATACCCGTGAATATATTCTAGGTTGGCTCCAAAGTAGGTAGTGTGGTCCACCTTGTTTTCGAATAACTAAGTTGCCGTCAGTATGTCCCTTGTGATACTCTAGCTCCATCACTTACTATGCCCGTCACTTTATTCGGAACAAACACCGGGGGTTGATTCTTGTTGTCGGCCTCCATGAGGAAATAATTATGGAGGCTCCGTCTCAAAATCCCCAGCATCAAGTTCCCTCTTGCTTCCATACTGGCATCCCCAATGGTCTTACCCCACATTTTTAGAGCATAAGCAAACATCGCATCTTCCGATGTCGACTCTTCGTCTTTCCCGTCGAATGATTCAAAAAGCCCTTTAGCCCATGAATGACCATGGAACCAGTCGAATCCACGAGAAAAGGGGAAAAAGGGATCATTGGTAGCGGCATTCCCTGCATCACGGACAAGCATATTGACCCAATCTTTGTTGCCTTGGATCCAAGATGGATCAAGGGACCCAATAATTGCAGCGGCATGGATGAAATAGCCGTAGTGAAAATGGTGGTCATTGTAATATGTGTTTCCGAAATCCGCACCAGAATCACCACCGTCATAACTAGCAGAAGACACTACTCCCTTCCATACATTGTCGTACACCAGGGGAAACTGCTGCTTGTTATCAATAAACCGAGCGAAGGCCGTCTTCAAGTCCTTCAGAGCAGGGGCTGCAAGGTCGGGCTTGCCACCCAATTTGTCCACGGCGTATACGAGCGTAGCGAATTTGCTGAGAGCTTTACCGCTGAAGTACATGCTATTCAAGTTGGACTGATTGCCGACGTCCTGCTGGAGCTCTGTTGGTGCCACATCTATGATGACTTTTTGGGCCGCCGGAGAAATTGTGTCGACGCTGCCTGCGGACACAGACCACGGTGCGAGTCCCATACCAACAGGTAGGTTCTGTTCCACCATTGACCAAGATTCTCCGATCACCGCGGTTGCATTGCCCTTCGTGGTCGTGCGCATCGTAATATTAGTCAGGCGGTCATGGGTAGTTTTGTCAAATGATTCCACGTGGTGTGGCAGAGCATACATCATCAATGGGGTGCCGCCTTTATCTTTGCCCTCCTTCCCCCAGGTGAGGCTGTATGTGCCCGTCTCACCAGATACAGCACCTGTCACCCAACCTTGTGTGGCATAGACACCAGACGAATTGTCGAATAGTTTCTCTCCCAAGGTACCTGATGGGTTCTTGGCCACCTGCACTGTTCCTGACCAACCAGGAGGCCCACGCAGGTTGGTAGTGGACTCCAGATGGAGATTGGGATCTTTACCATCATCTGGGGTTAGGTAAAGAAGCCACTGGGTCCCATCTGCAAGGTCCACGGTATATTTGAAAATACCTGCCCTTGGAGAGCCAGCAGAGACCACTTTGCTGAAGAAAACGCTGCTCTGAATGACGGGCTGAAGGTTTGAATATATCCCGGTGACAAACCCCATGCCCTGTACCACGGGAAAGGTGATCCTTTCGGAGGATCCACTTTGGGGTTGTAAGACAGCGTTCGCCGAGAATGGCAGCGGGTTCTCTGTCATAAGCACGGTAGAGTCCTTTAATTCCGTTGCCGATAATATAATGGACTGGATACCAATAGGGTTCACATAGTACTGAACTGGGCTGCCTGGTATCTTGTCATTCTTTGGCCCCAAAGCAAGCTTGTCTACCTCAATATGTGAGATAGCTATGCCGTAGCTTTTCGCATTTCCGTTCCCCTTTGCCCACGCAATTCCATATGGATGGGTGAAGGTTGTATTGGTTTGAGTCCCTAGGAACAATCCAGCATAGAACTTGTTTGTTTCAATCGGGTCCGTGTTGTTCATCTGATAAAGTTAACCTGGATACAATCCTCATATACTGGGGACTCTTACTATGGACGCCCTGGGAACTGGGTGGTCATTCCGGGACTTCACGGTTCCGGGAATCGGGCCGGTAGATACTGGCACAAACACATCTTGACCGTTGACCATTGTCGGCATGCTTGTGCTGGTTGATGGACTTGGCTCAATGGGCGTAGAAGTATCTTGAGTCTTAGCTGGCTGACTCACGACGCTACTTGTACTACTCGAACTCGTAGATACGGGAACTGAGATGGAAGTTGGAGCGGTGGTAGGCGATGGAGTGGTCTCCGCAGGCCCGTTTATTGTTTCCTGCGAATGTAATGGGGCAGATGGTGCAGGTGTAGCTACTGGAGACGTAGCCGGCTTTTCTGAAGTAGCTGGTAATATGCCGGGAAGTAGTTCGTCTAACAACGAGACAGGGTTATATACGTTGTTGAGAAAACCGCCGTATCTATAGGGGTCCTCCTTTGGGTCAGGAGTAGGCTTCTGTAATTGATGGCCTTCTCGTTCAAGGATGGTTGGGTAGTACTGTCTAGTGTAAGTAGGTACATCGCTAACGGTTTAATATGCGCTTACACCTTGCGTCTCAGCCACCAGTAACCTGGCGTTCGCAGCAGAAGGAGGATACTGGGTTTTGAAGGAAGTGGTCGCTTCCTG